TTAGCTTTTTTTTTTTTTCTTCTTTATCTCTTTATGAATGTTAGAAAGTTTCTGCTCCCGTGTCAGATGGACGGCGATAAAATAATTAAGACGTCACCTTTTAATGTGATTCTCTGTAGTGTTTATTTTATTCTCTCATGGCTGTATCAGTTTTCTCAAGTGTATGTTTCATCATTTCTCTGCACCTGATTTAAAGTTGAACTGAAGCATATCAGATATCAATAGAAGGACTTTCATAACTCTGCAACTTAAAACTACTCTCCCATTAGATTAGAAAGCTGAGATGTTTCAGTATTCAACACTCGCAGTGACTAAAATACCTTTTTTTTTTGAGAGCTTTTTGAGAATCAGAGCTGGGCTATGAAAACACAAAGCAGTCGCTCTCAGAAACGCACAAATCTGTCTCTGGGCTTCAAAGAAACTAAAAGAAAGCAGAAAAAAGTCAGATAATGACAGGACCTGTAGGTGCCTCTGACTGTGACCCCTGTGCTCAGACAGAAGCAAAGAGTTCATAAAAGTCACAGCTGGCTCGTTCACATCGTAGCAGCTTCTTCATATTTTACACTCCGGTCTGCACACAGGACAGAAAACACTCCAGAGTCTCAAACGGGAGGCGGTTCTCTCGTTGAATGTGTTTTAAGAGTTTGGTTTGTTGGGGATTTAGCGCCACCATCTGGAGGTTTTTTTGTATACAGAGGGTGTGTCTCTTTAGTTTTGTACAGAGCTCTGCCTGTTGTTGTATTTTTGCCAAAGTTACTGATGAATTGTCTCCTTATCTTTGACTCCTAGAGAACATGACGCTCTGCCAGCTTTAGCACTGAAATATATGCTTGAAGTTTTCAAAGGGAATATAAAACTTTTGGAATAAAATTGTCAAAAAAACCAAGTGTTTGATTTATGGTATTTTTTTTATTTAACACTAGAACGACCGGCATTCTATCACTACTAGAAAGGCCATAGTGGTCATTTTGACTGTTTACAAATGTTTTGCATATCATCATCAGAGACCAGGAGACATCACTTTCTGTATCCGAACCTGCCTCCATCAGACTCTGCCTCATCAAGGCTCTGGAGCCTCTGTGGCAGCAATCCTCCTCCTTCCTGACATTTCATTCTATTCTATTCTAAATCAGATCCTAATTTACTCTATTCTGCCTTTTCAATGTTGATTCATTCAAATGTGTGTCTCCTATTCTTTCTATATGGTTTTAGGCGGGTAAGCTTTCTTTCCTCCTCGGCTCGAGCGTTATAAACAATAGTTGCTAGGCAACAGCGATGCACACCTTCAAGTAGTGGTGGGCGATATAACGATCTTATGTCGTGAAGGACTTTAACGTGCTGACGATCTGCCAAAGCAGAGAGATCGTAGAACCGGGCTAATGTGTTTATTTTATCATGCTGCAGTTTATGCTCCCACACAGACGCGTCTCCCCCCCCCCCCCCCCCCCCACCTGAAGCTCACCTGTTGTGATAACTGAATTTATAGGGATTACACTAAACGACGTTACAAAGCAGCAGGCAGGTGAGAGTGAGTAACCATGGTGACTGTCTGTCTGTCAATCAACAATGTCCCGCCCCCTCTATGAATTAAACTCTTCTGTCAGTAAAACTTACTTTGATCATGTGTCACAGAATGAACACATTCTGTATTATGTTTGATTATATATAAACTAAACTAAAGTTAGTCCAATGATGTCATAAAAAACAACAAAGTCTGCAGAGCCTGTATGAAGCTCCAGCTGGAGGAACTCTGCAGGGCTAAAACAGAAAAGAAACACAAGAACTCAAAGTCTACATGTTTTTAAATGAATGCATCAGTGCGTGAAAATGTTCCTGATGAACATAAAAAGAGGACACATAACTAAATCATCATTTCAAAGTGGTGAGGAAAACCTTCACATTGTTCATAAATATTGATCAAATTGAGAGAAAGACATTTCTGTTGCTAAAGATGTTCTGGGTGAGAGACCTCCAGACCTCCTACAAAGATGTTTTTCAAACAGATGAAACTTGTCAGTGCAGTTTTTGTGCATTTAAAACCATTATACAGGGAAATAAGTTTGGTTGAACTGGTCAGTAACTTACAAATTAGTCTAAAGAACAGTATGAAAAGAATCGTGATCGTGATTTTGCCCCAAAAAAATCGTGATATGATATTTTTCCCACCTCTATCTTCAAGAGCGGGAAAAAGTAGGGAATACCGAAATGATACACTGGCTATAATGCATGCAGTCAATATGACCACTATGGACTTTCAAGGTAGAAATACTCAAAACTCTTTTGTGTTTTGTGTTTTTGATAAAATAACAATGCTAGAATAAAATATAGACACATTTAGGAAAAGTCATGGTCCTGTAGTTAGATAGGTTTTATTTTAAGTAAGTTATTACATTGCAAAATTAAAAAACAGTCAAAATGACTGCCTTGGTCTTTCTTGTGTTAAAGGCATTACTATAACATAAATCTATTATATTCCTGCAGGCACATTACTCCCACTGCTCAGGGAAATAGACACTTGTGAATCTCAATGCAGTTCTCTAATTATCAAGTTTATATTTTTGCTATGATCTAAAAAAAAAAAAAAAAAAAACAGGTTTAGAAAAGAAAAGCAAACAATGTTTAAAAAATAATTATTGTGAATTTTTAATATTATTTTGTGCATACTGTTTATTGGTCAATATCTTACACTTGTTTAGGTCACAACTGTTGTCTCTCAACAGATTTAAAGATAAGTAAAGAGCATGATCGAACTGATCTTAATTCTACTGATTCTCACGGGCCCATTTGGTGATTTAAATATCATACAGATAAAATCACCCAGCTCCATCTCAGACTCTTTTCACTGCTTTAATGTATCTGCAGAAAAGCTTTCCAAACAGTCACGAGCCACTCATTTGAATAGTAAGAGCACACATTTGATGAAAGTAAAATACTCTCAAACATGACAGCGACGCTTCTTTTTAAAAGTTATGACAAAGTCTCTTTATAGTCAGCCTCTGATCACGGTCAGTGACGTACAGTTACAACATAAAAATAGGCACAGTTTCTCTTTGTATCAAACAGATCTGAAGACTTAAAGCCACTTTACCATCTTCCCACCATCACACTTGGAGGATAATAAACAGTTGGTGCTCAATGTTAAATAAATGGCTATAAAAAAAGCACCAAGAATTTAGATGTAACCTTTGAATGTAAATGTGTGAGTTGCTTGGACAGCACATACACACGCACACATACACACAAGCATTAATGATGTTAGTGTACATTTAGCAGAAAGGCTGATCTGTTAGTTACAGACATCGACAGGTAGAGACAGCGGAGGAGTGGAACAACGTGGAGGGACCTGGAGGAAAAGAATAAACAAACAGCCAGATGCTTGAAATGATGTCAGATTCAAAAAGTTGAAAATGCTCCTCAATGCTTGAGTTGCCAAAGATTTATTCATTTAAAGGCTTTATATGTGATTTTTTTGATCCAGCAGATGTCGCCCTTGAGCTCCAGCGTTAAACCAAAACAACTCGCGCTGCATTGTTGTGTTAGCATGCTAATGCTAGCGATCTTTATCATGCTGGTATCTTCACACTGCATGTAAATTTACCTGAAATGAGCGTGATCTAGAAACACAGTTAAGCAGTGAGTACAGTATGTTATTCTTCTTTTCTCTAGTCCCTCAATTAAACAACTTTTATACACGAGGGGAGGAGTCAGCCGGCCGTCCGGGCGATGTAAACAAAGTGAAGATAGGACTCTGAAAACTCTGAAAACATCACAGACAGTGGGACTCGGGTGTTACACCCATTGTAGACAGTCATGACTCACAGAGTTATTTTCAGAGGAGATACTTGATTTATATTATATTTAAGTGTGAAAAATCACATAAAGCCTTTAAGATCTAGTATTTTTTTTTTACGTCATCACCTCCTTTTTCCATTAAAAAATACTAAAACGCCTTAATTCTCCAAAAACACTTTGTGTGCTTTAGCGGTTGTGGATGGGCGTAAAAGATGCACACAAAAAAAGGTAAAGGGCCGTTAACAAATGCACCTTTTTTTTTTTTTAAACCATTTATTACTTATCTGTTAAATAAACGTTTTTTTTTTTCATTATATTTCATCTAAACTCTTGAAATAGAATAAAAGCCAAGATTGTATCGCATACGGATGGGTTTAAAAAAAAAAAAATGTACAGAAGCTGCATTTTAAAAAGCCTGATGTGACAAAGAGATCAGTACAGACAGCATGAGGGATCATATGCTGATCAGAGGAGCACACTGTTGTAAACAAAGAGCAGCTTCAGGAACAAGAACTCACTGAGTCTTCAGCTTTTGCAAACAAAACAAAAAAAGTCCATAAATATCAAGTTAAACTGTGACTTGATAAAGATAAAGCACACTTCCACACTTTGGCAACAGGAACACATGGGCAGGAACAATCAGTCTGCCAAACTCTTTGGCGTTTTCAGAATAACACTTGTTTTGTTGGATTGAAATGAAAGAGTAAAATGCAGGTAAACAGAGATCAGTCCCAGAAGTCTGAGCACACCTCTCAGTACAGATGGTATTTAAAGGGTTTGTAGCTTTGGAGTTTTATTTTTCGACCCTCTACTAAAAATGAAGAACTGATCACTTATTTTAAAGGCTTTATATGTGATTTTTTGATCCAGCAGATGTCGCCCTTGAGCTCCAGCATGAAACCAAAACAACTCTCGCTGCATTGTTGTGTTAGCATGCTAATGCTAGCGATCTTTATTATGCTGGTATCTTCACACTGCATGTAAATTTACCTGAAATGAGCGTGATCTAGAAACACAGTTAAGCAGTGAGTACAGTATGTTATTCTTCTTTTCTCTAGTCCCTCAATTAAACAACTTTTATACACGAGGGGAGGAGTCAGCCGGCCGTCCTGGCGATGTAAACAAAGTGAAGATAGGACTCTGAAAACTCTGAAAACATCACAGACAGTGGGACTCGGGTGTTACACCCATTGTAGACAGTCATTACTCACAGAGTTATTTTCAGAGGATATACTTGATTTCTACTATATTTAAGTGTTAAAAATCACATATAAAGCCTTTAACTAAGAAATGTCTGAGTTTCCTTTAAAGAAGAGGGTCCACTGTCATCACTGATCTTTTATGTCTGTGGGCTTTTTTTTTCCTCGGGACAAATGTGAGACAGAAGCACGTCTATCATGTTCTTGACGATGACTTCAGGGGGATGGAGGGCGTGAGGAAGGTGGTGCGCCGCGCTCATCTGCCAGGCGTCCACCAGCTGCACGTTGAGTCCTCTGAACATGGCCCTGAGCACGTCGTCCAGCTGCAGGGAGAACCAGTCGCTGTTGTACAGGCTCACCTCCTGATCCAGAGCCTGGAGGTTGGCCGAGCGGATGACGACGACCGTGCCCGGCGCTCGGTCCAGAAGTCGCAACACCGCCCGCCTGATGTGTCGCAGCCGTCGGATGTAAACCTCCACGGGAAATGTGCTGAAGTGGGACCAAATGCTGAGGACCACCACGGTGTCGGGACCGCCGGCGAGGCCGTCCAGCTCGTTGGAAACGTACCGCAACTCGCTGGCAGTGACGGTGGAGAAGCGGATGGGCGGGCCGTGGCAGCGGTACTTCAGAAGGATGTTGTTGGTGCTCTCGACCGCCATGAAGGGCCCCACGTTTTTAGGACTGTGCAGGTTGAATTCCTTTAATTCTAGAGAGGAAATAAACAACAATTAAAAAACATGATATAGACAGATCTTGGTTATGTGCAAACACGCATACAATCTTAGATGTAAATATCTGCAGGAGATGACGCACACTTATTTTTGTATTTGTATTTATTTTTATTTTTTGTTTATTTATCTAATTATTTTTTCTTCATTTAATCCTTTTCTACTTCTTTTTTAATTTTAATTTTTTATTTATTTCTTGAACAGTAAGCTTAACCTGACTATATGCTTGTAAAAAGGAGGCACGAAGCTCGCGCTGGATGCTGCCTCTGTTATATTTTGAATTTGCATACTGTGTATATATTTCTATGTATTGTTTCCTTATCACCACTGGGTGTTAAAAATATATATTAAAAAAAATGTATTGCAATAAAAGTATAAAAAAAAAAATTCTAGAGAGGATGACATGAGAATGGATTTTAATATTGGAAAGAAATATAAGAAAAAATACAGAGCATGAAAATTTAAGCAAAGATAATAAAAAATAAATAATAAACTCACCTGGAACAAATTCAGTGAGGTACTCAAACCACTGCCTCGCTGTCGAGTCTCCGTACATGTTGACCACTTTGTTCTTCAAACACTGAGTGATGGCAGACGAGTCGTTGAACCGGCGCACTGACGTGCCACCTAAAGGCCGCCAGGAGTCCGCGTAATAAAATCCAGACGGTGCAAACTTAGTAGGATCTGGTTTCACACTGCTGCTTTCAGCCCCCACTTCATCTGAGATTAAAGGAGAAATGTGTTTGGATAAAGTTAATAATATACTGAATGAATCAAAGCATCCATGTACTTGTAATGATGCACAAACTACAAAAGTTGTCTTTACAAAGTCTGCAGGTGTACTGTACCTTTCCTGCGAGGGAGCACGTTGATCCTGTCGGCTCCTGAAGCGTGAATGGCAACTTTGAGGTTTACACCACTGACATAAAACAAGAAGGATTCATCAGGTTATTTTTTTTTTACATTTGTTACTGTCAGCAAATTCGATGAAAAAAAAAAACAACAACCTGCTTTTCATACTTTTATAGCAAATCTGTGTTACTCAGAGATTTCACCGATGACATATACACACATAACAATTAATTAATAAAATATGCTTTTGCACTGCAAATAGTATGACGTCATCAAATAGAAGCATGTTGAAGAAATGAGAGAAACGATCCAAAGAGGTTGGAACTGGAGAGGAGCGATAATAGTAACTGAAAGAGAAATAGGAACAGTATGCTGCAAATTCACTTTTTATTTACACATATTTAGCTAAGTGTATGTTACTTTTATTTTCATGTCATATCTGACCTTCGCAAAAGGCTGCAAGGAGAGCACATGGCTGCCTGCTTGAGGGTCTCTATGGGCCAAGCCTAAAGCCATTTAACTTCCATGGGCATTGGATTTCATGTTTTAACAATTTGTGCACTAAAAGAGCACAACATTGTTTGAAGAGAACAAAGTTTTTCTAACATTTTAACCTTTTAAGTTTGCACAAAATTGATGCATTTAACTTTAAAATGTATTCATTTTTCTCCCTAGAGGGTTTCAGTTCCCCCCCCACCATAGTCTAATGAAACCCTGCATACAGCCTCACAGCGATGCAGGCATGGCTGCACCGCTGCAGACTCTTATTTTTGATTCAGGAACATAATTCCCTTAAACAGATGTGCACTGTAGTGCCTATAAAAGGAACTCAAGCAGCGAAGATAATGGTGTCGTTTTGGGAATATTTTTATATAGCAGAAGTTAATTAGTACTCAAAGTGCAAAGGCTGAAAACAAAGTACAGCTGCCAGTTTATTTATGGACAACACAAGTCCCTTCTCCCTTCTGGTAAGAGTCTGCGGCCAAAACTTCTCACCACAAGAAGAGCTTTTTCCCCTCAGCTGTCAGTCTCATGATCAATGTCCCTACCTGCCCCCCCCACCACCCCCCCCAACATAACACAGACTCTCATCCAGCCCCAGAGTCAGAGAGCAGTACAGCAATGTGAAGGCTGAAACTGTTTTTATGTGTTACATTAACGCTCACTGGACTTTTGATAATGCACCTTTTGTACATTTTGTGTTTTTAGATTTCTTATACTCTGTTTCATGGGTTCCCAAACTTTTCAGCCCACGACCCCCAATATAACGCTGATAGACACTTAGGGACCCTGGAGGTGGTTAAAAACACTAGGCCACGCAATAGCCCAAACACCATCATATTATTTTTGTAATTTCTTGTAAAAAAACAACTTTTTTTGTATAGATTTTCAAATGAATGGGTGAAATATGCAATTTTAAACCATTTTTACATGTTTTTGGAGGGAATCTTGCAACCCACCCTAACAGTATCTCGCGACCCCCACTTTGGGAACCACTGCTCTATTTTATATATTTGTAATTACTTCTTATATTTTATTTAAAGAACACTTATGTTTGATGTTTATCTGCATATTTAAACGTTAAAATGCTGCAGACCTCTGGAAGAGCAGCGCCTCTCGGTTGGTGATGAGGTGTTTCAGATAGCCTCCTTTGGCGTGGTTGATTCTGGTGTCACAGCTGAGCATCTTGGGCTTGTAGCAGTACCAGGGCTCGCCTGTGTACAGGTCTGTGTAGTTGCACAGGGGCTGCTGGTCTGGAGGCAGACAGATGTTGCACAGAGTCGTTTCGGACAGGAAGCCCAGACGGAACAGGCTCTTAAAAAAAACCCGATCCGGCCGCTCTTCTCTCAGCCGCCTCAGCACGGCCACGGCCTCGCTCGAATGCACCATCGTTATCTCCACCTGTGCAGACCCCAACCAGAGGAGCGGGAACAGGGCGGAGTACAATCCATTCTTGTGGTCGAGCACCTGACCCGCTACACCTGCTCCCAGCTCCGGGGTGTGCAGCCTGGCCAAAAGGAAATCCCCGCCGTAGTGCTTGGGCCGACCCTGGAAGTCGTGCATTTGGACCAGGACTTCCAGCTGGTCTCCCACATGCCACGCCCTCCCTTCCCTAGTGGGAAGGATGGTGAACAGGCTGTGCACGGGGTCGCTCGTCTGTCGCAGGGCAGGCGGCGCAGAGCGAGCTGGAGGCCTGGGCCAGGCGATAGAGCCCAGCAGGTAGCGCTCCTCCAGTTCATCTTCGGGCGACGGTTTCTGGCCCAAGTTGGCACAGAAGGTGCGGTTGTGATGAAAGGTGGGGAGATTCACCGGGATGAAGGAGGACTGGATCCTGCTCTGGAGCTTGTAGAGGGCGGAGACAGTGTGACAGTTCCAGTTCTGAAGAGGAAGGGAGCAGATAAGAGTTTAGAGGTGATCCACAGATTGCACCATCAAGACCTTCTTTAATCAGTCCATTTGTATTAATGTACCAAATCATAAACAAATGTTATCTTAAATGTTTTTAAACATTACTGTACATATAAAAACAACACTTTAAGTTTGATTCATCTAGGGGGATTCTTTAAATCTTTTTTTCAGGTTAACATGTATGTATGGGAGGGGGGGGGTCGGTTTTGTGGTTTAATTTGTAACAAATGTTTCATGTCACGTCTTTGTAACCTGCTACTGGATGCTTTGAATTTCCCTCGGGATCAATAAAGTATCTATCTCAGGTCTAGAGTGACTCTTTGTTATAATATTTAGAGGGATTCAAAATGAACCCACCATCAGCAAGAACTTGGCAAAAGTTGCAAGGACAAACTTCCAATGAACAGGCAAAACTGTGAGCAGAACCAAACTGAGAGTTGGAGAGACGTCTGTTTGCCGACTGGACAAAATGGGAATCATCAAAAATAAAAAGGACTGAGTGTTATCCTGTAGTGGAAATGACTTGGGCTTCTTTCATTGGTTAGATATTAAACAAAGAGAAAGGGTTAGGGTTGGGTTAGGGTTAGGGTAAGGGTTATGATAACCCTTCCCCCTCTCCATTTCACCTGAGGTTTCACTGAGCAGGGAAACCAGCCATCTTTCTAACTTATCTGGCCAAAAGTAAGGCTCTCATCCTTTTTCCAGCAGAAAGAAAAAGGCTCACTCTATGCTGTGGGAATATTGTACTTTAGGTTTGTTCTTGTGAGTCTGCCTCCATGATAAAATGAAGGCTTTGTTGCTCAAGCCTGTGAATCCTCTGGATTGATTGTTCCATTAAGCTCCCATTCTGTCTTCAATTTTTTCCATCAAGATTGTATACTTTGATATTTGTGTCTGTGTATTCCCCCCCAGGGAAAGCAGCTCTGTTGCCTGGTCAACAATCTACTACAGTCATGTTCATGTGTTATGATCCCCAGGATGGCTAGGGGATGAGGGGAGTAACAATCAATTAAAACCCAGTGAAAAGAAATAGGAACTAAATATAAGTAAAGTTTAAAATGATTTATTAACCAACTAAATCAAAATGTGCAACACAAAACAAGCTTCTTCTAAAAAAACACAAAACAAAAGAGAAGCCAATTCAAAACTAACACTCAAGATATGAACAATAAAGCCTTAATCAGAACACAAAGCTTCCACAGAAGGATCACACTAAAGTTCTCATCAAAGACACACACAGTCCAACGACCCACTGACAGCTGGCAGCCTCCTCTCCTGCTCTTTACAGTATGCCCCTGATTAATAATTAGCCACAGGTGATGCTGGGCACTCTGAGGCTGAGGAGCAACACCTGGGGAGCACACACAGGAGAGAGAGAAAAGACAAACAAAACTATGGCACGTAACATCATGCTTCCTTCTTTTTTATTTTTTATATGTCTTTATTGTAGAGGCAGGACAGAGAGAGAGAGAGAGAGAGAGAGAGAGAGAGAGAGAGAGAGAGAGAGAGAGAGAGAGAGAGAGAGAGAATGACATGCAGGAAAGGAGCCACAGGTCGGATCTGAAGCCGGGACATGGACCGCAGCCTCTGCACATGGGGCTTGGGAACCGACCACCGGACCACCGCCGCCCCCCCCAGGACAATCTTCAACCAAGCACCATAAAACATCACCAAGGTTTCAAGGTGGTACTTCTGCTCACTTTCAAAGTAAAGGTTTAGTATCATTAGAACTTCTATGAGGTACCTGTGTGCATCAACTTCCCTTCAATGTAACAGACATTAAACTCATCAGTCTAAGCTCTTTTCTCACCTCTACAGTGTGGATGTTCCGCAGCAGGAAGATGAGGCCAGAGAGGGCTACGAAGAGGAAGATGAGGGCATAGTTGGAAAGATTTCTGCACATGGTGACCTCCTTCTGTCTCCCATGATCAGGCCCTGTTTCTCTCTGTGCGGTCACCACGGCGATGATGGCATCATCTCTTCCTCAGCACATGATGCTGCAGAATGAATACTGCCATTTAAAAGAATGAACGCACAAAGGAATACATTCATACATAAATCCAGAATGAGCTTTGGACCAAAGTACATCTGTAATTAAGTTAAAATTGACTTTACATTAATCTGCCCACAGGAAATAAAAGCTACCTAGGGAGGCTTGGAGAAGGAGAGTCTGGGACTCATGCCATTAATAATGTACGTCGGTTTTTTTTTAACGTTGATCACTTAAGATAATTCATTTTTGCAATTTCAGTTGTGAAATCCAAATTAAGGACACCAGCAACTTCAATCCAAAATTAAATTTCAAAACAAAATCCAATTCAGATTTTTCTTTTCAACCACAGTAGCTATTAACCAACCGTTTGTAATTTAAGATGTCGGGGAAAAAACAGAGGTAAACATAGGGCGTCGTCTGACAGATTAAAAAAAATAAAAAAAAAAAAAAATAATTAAACCGGAAATAGCTACAACGGAAAGTACACGGACGATTCATTTTACATAAAAAACCGTTAACTTTTCATAGCTGCCTTTTAACCTTTTAATTAACCGTTGCTTATCTAAAGTCTTGTCCTTATAGAAAAAAACCCGTCGTAAGATATTCGTCTTAAGTTTTCCCTAAAAGCAGATTTCATAAACACCTATGTGATAAACGGTTAGGGACCGTAAACATTCTTTACGTTGACGTAGACTTCCATTTTTATAGACGTCACGTAAATACCGGTCATACTTTAGGTTAGGGTTAGTCAAACGTCCACTGTCCAGCATTTAAACCGACAATAAAAAACATTATTTAAAATAGTGATATCAAAAAACACACACTGGTGGGAATGTCATGCAGACAGTGAACTCCCCGTTAGCTGATGCAGAGGTTGTATCGCTTTAGCCCCGACACAATCCTCTTACTTACACATTGCGACGAAGGATTAGCAAGATGTTGAAGTGGTAAAGAGCTGGAGGACGACCAGTCTGACCAGTCCTGACCAGTTTAGATGGTTTTGTACAGTCCCATCTGAAGAGGTGTAGTAAACAAGACGAGCCCTCCGGATCTACAAAGCTCAGTAATCTTGATGGGGGGGCAAAATAGAAAAGAGGGTGAGGAGGGAGGGAGTGAGGAGGGAGGAGGGAGGAGGGGATGGGCTTTGTGGGTTGAATAGATTTGCTGCTGCGTCCTCTGGTGGTCCTTTTCTTTTAGGAACTTTTACCCCTAAGACTCAAAGACACTGACATGCACAGAATGTAATCAGAAAATAAATCAAAATATTTTCACCTTTTCTTTCCTAGAAAATATGAACGACGTGACATTCAAACAGTACAAAGTACAAACCCTCCTCCCTGTTATCAATGTCTGACTGTTCCTGATTAACCAGAGCGAAATATTTTATATTATTTAATAAGTTATAACCACATGAAGAAAACAAAAAATTCTGAATAAATAAACAAACATTCAGAATTCCTTTCTGGAAAAAATGTGGAGTCTCAAAAAAAAAATCACATATAAAGCCTTTAACAAATTATAATTTAAATAGAAATAAATGATTATATAGGGCGTAAACAACTGATCAACTGCAAATTACTTTGTGACTTTGTGAACTCTCTCTAAACTTTCATACCAGGGTTCAGAAAACAATCATCATCTAATCCATATCGGTGATTTAAAAACAGGTGTGCCAGCTGCTTGTCAGACTTATTACTGGACTAAAAAAACATTTGCGGTCAACGGGATTAACTGAAAAGGTTATTTTATAATCAGATGAGAAGGTAATGAAATAATCAATAACCATCAACAAATACCAGTTGGAAAATAATATTTGAGGATTTATTTACATTTTTAAAATGATGCTACATTTTCAGGTGATGCGATCTCAAGATTATAAAAAAAACAGCTATAAACGCAACGTGTTATTAGACTGAATGCTTATTGTTTAATATAGTATATATCAGGGATTAGAGCTATGTTAAACACATTGCTGTCTAATCTTATTGTTATAGTTTACACGATGTATACATTGCAATGGATGTTGATGAAGAGAATAGGTCACACCATGTCTGCTCCTTTAATCCAGTGGCTGTCAATCCTGGTCCTGGAGACTCACTGGCCTGCATGTTTTTAGAGGTTTTAGAGGGAAACATCTAACACATGCAGGCCAGTGGGACCCCAGGATCAGGATCGAAAAAAGACAATGCCAGTTGATGTATCAACCTAAACCCTGAAGTTGCTAATATCGCCCAAAGCTACATTACAATCGTTATCTTTACACAGAGAGGAACATTTCTACTGACTAAAACAAAAAGATCCAAGTTTTCAAAACACTTGAATGACATTCACATTAAGGTGTTGTTAAAGTGTGCAAAGTGTTCAGTCTTTTGTAACAAAGCCAACCAGATGCACTGACCCATTTTACATCTGGGGCGGTTATCAAGATGATCACAACTGTGAGAAGTCTCAAGAGGCCGACAGTTGGTGCCAAATTTACACACCCACTCAGTAGTTCTGTATGAGGGCCAATTAGACTCTCAAATAAGGCCAGGAGTGTTTTCCTCCCTTCTCTGTTCTTCTGATTGGTCGTGTGCAGCCTTCTCCAGTGGGGAATTGGACTGTGTGGCTTTGACTGGTGATACTGGTGAGGAGGGCTGTGGTGTTTCTGTTCTTTCACTGACCACCTCCTCGGCCTCCTGCTCCCTCTGCTGCACAGACGAGAGGTACTGCTCCATCAGGCTGCAGTCTGCGCTGTCCACGGCGAAGCCACTCTGAACGGGGCTCAGCGCTCGGACCGTCTTCAGAGAGTCCGTCGTCCCGCTGCTCAAGAAGCTGTCCTCCCGTGCCGACTGGTGGTCACCTGTGGACGGGAAGCCCGAGTCAGGGAAGGAGACGTCCGTGCTGGGCGGGTTCTCGGTGCCAGATGCAACAGGAGGGACGGACTCGCACAGTCCAGGAGCCGAGACCTGAGCTGGGGTGACGGCCTGAGTTATGCCAGCCAGCTGCTGCTCCACAGACTGTTTCCACTGCTGCATGGACTGGAGCTTTGAAGACAACACAACACAGGAAAGTGTTAATCTAATGAGGCAGAAATACAGGAAGTCTTATCTTCAGAAAGCTGTAATGGAAAGATATCTGTTTAACACGTGCAGATTTCTGATTGCACAGTGGGAAAATACTGAAGCGTAAGAAACACGTACGCAAACAACACACGAACATAACCGTCATGAAACTAAGAGATAATTATAGGCAAGTCTCTAAGGCAGATTAAGACACATGGACAAGAGTCAACCAATGAGAGTGCCCTGCTTTGCGAAGTCTGGTATAAATGTCTTGATGTAACCGCTGCTGAGCGGGATTCTGCTATGCATTTGTGATGATTGTCACTCCTGTATAAGTTTCCTATTACTCTGATAATAACAGACAAAGACAAAAGCAGTTTGACTTGAGACTTTATTTGACATAGAAAAATCCACAACAAAGCCATTTTTTAACCATGCTGAAACAGGGATGGTAGCGCCAGTCTTTTGGTCTACTGGTCAACCTACCACTCTGCCCAGTCTGTAAATACTGTAATGGCCTGAATATAAGACGAGCTTTCTTTCCTTTAAACACCCTGAAAAAAGTGATGTTGTCTAATATACAGGGTGTAGACTTTTAAATGTCAGTAAACATTCACAACAAAAGACATAACCACCTATGTGTATAGCGAGTATGACTGAATCCAGCTGCTGTGCCACGGTGAGACACTGGGATCATCCTGGACTAAGTGGTTCAAAAGTAGGTCAAGTTAACCAAAAATCCAGGTTGAGTTATGAGGCCACTCATTCAAAAAAATATTTTTTGGGGGGCTTATTGCCTTTCTTCAGAGAGGACAGTGGATAGAAAGTGGGGAATGACATCATATATGAAAGATATGTTATGGAAAGGCTGTCATTTCCCCTCAAAGTCCAGAAGGATAGATTCTACAGGATATATATATATTTGAATATGTCAAACCTGTAAGACCTGTTTTTATTTAACTAATTGGAGTACATTGGGTGTTATTTCCTCATCCGTTAACCTGCTCTGTATTTTATTTTCTTATTTTCTTCCAAGGTGAAAGCTTCCTGTGTTGTTTTGTAAATAATTTCAATTTAATTAACGTCATGTTAACTTGAATATGAAAAAATCTTTGGAAGAGCTAAATTGTTAAAATATACTGCGAGCATCATACCCCCCCTCTCTTTCTGCAAAGAAAGTGCTCCAATGTTTGAAAGTTTGAAGGAGGAGTCTTGCAATTATTTTGCTATTATGTGCATTAATAATGTGTGAAGAATGCTTTTCCTTAACTAAAAAATTATTTAAAAAAAGAAAGTTGGGAATGACATCAGGAAAGGAGCTGCAGGTCAGACTTTCTTGGTGCATGGAGCATGCAACAATTTCAACTAGCAACATTTCTTGCATAAATTGCAAAATTATTGCACACAACTAGCATGTCAGTATTATCATTGTGAGTGTTACCATCATAAATCATCATAAAGATGCTAGCATGGCCGTCTTGTTTCGAAAAAAACAAACACAGGAGAGCAACATCATATGAGATAATGACAGAGTGAGGCTGAACTCACCTGTTTCCACAGAAACTTTACAGCTTCCTCCTGAACCAGCCTCTGTAAGCGCTCCTCTTCATAGTGATGCTGCACCCTGCAAAACAACTCCATTATTAACTAGTAGTTCATCTATGTACATGCTGGACAATACAAAAGTTATAAAGCACAAACATTCCCACACCACAAAATTGAAAAGCAAAAAGAAACACAGACGATCATTAAGTTACCTGTCCAATTCTTCAGACAAGAAGAGAATGTGTTCTTGCATCCTGTGCAGGCGGATTTCACTGCGCACCTCTTTTGCGACAGGGTGACAACAGCGCGTGTGCTGTCCCCTCCACCATGACTGAATTTTAACCGCTGCCCTGTCCGCCTCCGTCACAGAGGATTTACTTGTACACACTTGAACTTCTTCCTGCGTCGGGGCTTCCATCATCTCTGCTTTGCAAAAGTCAGAGGATGTTTCCAGATCACTTTGCGGTGTGCTAACTCTGAGTGCCACCGATCCAGCTGTAGTCGCCCCACCAGAAAGGACTTCTTCAGAGCCCTTTTCCTCTGTCTGTGATCGATGTTTCTTGTTTGTGTTGTGCTTTTTCTGCTCGGCCGGCTGCTTTGGAGCCAGGGAGTCGGGTTCAAATGTCTCCGTCTCATCCTCGCTGTCAGAGTGGGTCATTTGAGGATCCAGATCGGATGTGAAGGGGAGAAAAGTCGACTCTGAGGAAAGCATGCTGCCGTTCAGTTTGTCCTCATCTGTCAGCACGTCCTCTAGAAACATGTGCTCCTCTCCGGGCCTCGGGCTGCGAACCACCGGCAATGATGTGTGGGAAGAATCACAGCTTACCCAGGTGTTAAACTGCACAACTGGCTCTGCACAAAAAGCAGACAAACCAAAACAGTTACAATTCTGAAAAATAAATCTTGTCACAACAGCTTCTTGTTAATAGAAACAACAAAAACAAACTGCCAGATAGGATGACAAAGCAGCCCGCTCACCTGTCTCCCGTACTGATGGTGCAGCAGCAGCTGATGCAGGTGGACTGATGTTCCTCAGCTCTCTGGCTCCCCCCTGTGGCTCTTCATGTGAAGGACTGTGCCTCTCCACGTCTAGTTGAGTTGGGCGCGGAGGGCTGGGACATCCTCCTGTCGTCTCCTCTAACAGCTGTCTCTGGTGAAACCTGGGAGACAAAAAATGTCCACCACACCCGGGATCAGTCGTAGAAATTTTCCACTGATAATGATGCATGGCATTTAAGTAAGAATTGGACGCTGGTCTTTGTTTTTTAAAGCATCATGTTGTGTCACATTGCTGCTAAATGTATATTTTTTTACCTCTGCTTACTGAGGATCTTCTCCAGTTTGGCATCTTCTGCAGTCTCTAGAGCTGGGGATGATGTCAGGGGGCAAACAGTGGCCAGGTACTGAACCAGCTGAACATGCTGACCCGGTCGATATGAACGTCCTTTTCCCTGACTGTAGAGCCACTCTGCTTTGAGACTGTAAAAATAACAATCATACATAAGAAAATCCAACGTTTTGGTTCTTTCATTCATCTTTACAGATTTAGAAACACACACACCCTTCTTTCTGTGACACGACATAGCCATCCAGGACTTTCAGGCTCAGGCACCAACTCATGACGTAAGGCCGATAATCAAAACCAGGCAGTGAGGGGGTCGACATAACGCAGGGGTTGCTCATGATGGACAGCTGCTCCAGGTCATGGAGAGGCGCGAGGTATGACGCCTGCAGAACAATCACAAATAAGTCAGTCAATCAGTAATTAGCATCCGTGTTGTTTAAATGGAGACGACAGCACTTTATCAAGTAATTACCTCGTTAAGATCCCTGATTTCATTCTCTGCCAGGGAGAGGATGGATAAATGGACGGGGAGGTGAGCAGGAACTGTACGGAGAGTTGTAATACTGTTTCCATGGAGTAAAAGTGTCTTCAAAAAGGGAAAGAAAAAAGAATACAAAACATACAAAAATGAAGCTTCCACAGAACATTCTCAAACATCATGCTTTTCTTTATGATGCTTTTGGCCTTGGAGAGTCAAGCACTCACCTTCAATGCCACCAGTTTGGTGAGATCACCTATTGTAGATATGTTATTGTCAGACAGATCCAGGTGTTGAAGGGACAGACAGTTGTTGAGTTGCTCGATGACCTGAGATAAAAACCATGTACAGTCAGTCAAACATGCAAAATATTGAAATCTTGAAACTGTTTTTACCCAGGTTATGACATTTTTTGTCCATCCATGACGTAAATTTTGTGATATAAACCTTAATATTGTTCCCCGAAAGGTTGAGCCATTCCAAGTGCGGGAGATCTCTTAGCCCTTCGATGTACCCGATACTGTTATTGGGAAGGTTGAGGACTCTCAACTCTGTTAGCCGAGACACTCCCATCATCCTCACCAGACGGTTACTGGCAACAGATAGCTAAAGAGGAAGAGGATAAAAAGCATTCAAGAAAATGTTCAGTATGTTGTATGTAAATAAATGGACTGAAAAGCAACAAGGTGTCAGAGGGTTTACCCACCTGCTGGAGACCTGGGCTCCGTTCCAGGTGGTCCAGTTTCATTATGTGATTACGGTCGAGGATGAGGGTGTGAGTGTCCTCGGAGCAGATGAAACTAGGTTCCAGCTTCTGCATACTCCGGTCCGAAAGATCCATCACAGGACCTTGTGTGGCTGAAGCAAATAGACATTTAAAAACTGCAATCACAAAACTACCCCCCTGCTCCCTATCCCTCTTCCTGCATCTTATCCCATCTCTCCCCCTATCCTTTCCAAGCCCGGCGCAGTCTAGACCTGTGAAGGCTGTTTCGTCATGAGCCGGGGATCCGGCTGAAGATTTAATTTGCCTTTTAATAAGAAAGTTTTTTCTTACCACTTTAACTTTTGCTGCTTTGCTAAAGTGCTCATGATGGATAGGCCGGATCTTTGTAACATAGCAATAAGTAAGGTCTTTTACCTGCTTTTTTATAAAGTGTCTCGAGATAACACTTGTTATGAGTTGAAGCTATACAAATAAAAATTGATTGATTGATACATTAAACAGAATATTTGTATTTAGGATAATTAGGCCTCTACTCTGATTTAGATGAATCTGTTTTTCTGAGTCCTCCAAGTTCATAAAAGTGTGATACTTAAACCCCTTTAGATAATAAAGGTAGAGCAAATAAATGGAGGTCAGGGCAAACTGACTTAAAGAAAGTAGTTAGATCTATAGATCTGCAACATAACAAAAGACTATACGTCATTTAAAACGTCAATATTCACTCGCTGTGGATATAGATTTAAACTGACCCCCCTTCCCCCACACATCACCTCACACCCATCATCCCCCCACCACTCCTCCTGGTCACACACACACACACACACACACACACACACACACACACACACACACACACCTGTATTATTGTATTATAGTATGTTCATATCACCTCAATAAGTTATCGACCTGTACAATATGTCCATATTCTGTATATTATCTGTAATCTACTATAGCATGCTCACTGCACCTTAATCTGTATATTATAATCTGAAGAATATACTTATATTTATAGTATTTATTTATATTTATAGCATCCCATTAATCCAGACATATATACACAATAATTCACTTTTTTTAGTCTACATCTGTAAATTCTGTAATTACTTGTACAGACTTGTACTTGTACACAGATTGTTGCACTTTCTGCTTATTTGCACTTCTGGTGAGATGCTAAACCTCATTTCGTTACTCTACACCTGTACATGTGTAATGACAATAAAGTCATTTACCTGTCGACATGTTTACAGGTAAATAATACTGACACTAGTAGATCCAATGGCACGAAGGGTGGCTATCGAATGAGGAATATCAAGGACAGAAAATAAGAGTTTGTGGAGCAGATGGAAAGTCTAACTCAGGAGATATGATGTTTAGATCTGACTCATGATGTTTGTAATGCATGCTAACGGCTGCACTCTGAGATGATGCATGCTAAGTTAGCTAACACTGAGCTCGTATAATAATAAGCACCATTTCTTCCACATAACCTTCTCTATCTGTCTGACCATAACAACAGCAGAGCAACTTACCAGCATTTTTATCAGACTGCAAATCTGATACACCCATCCTGTCGCCAAAGTCTATGCAGAGCAACTATATTAGCTGCAGATTGTAGTGTGAAAGACAAGGAGCCTTCTGCCGCTTGTCAAACGGCTGAACCAGGAAGTTACTGGGAAATGTAGTCCAAAAAGTCCGTCTCGCTCATTACGTTAAAGCGTCCTTGTGGGCGGAAAAACTACAATTATCTTTGTTGACTAAATAAAAAGGCTACAGTAAAAAACACAGTAGATAAACATGCTTGTTATTAAGGTTAATACCGAGCTACATCTTACATTTTTAGTTCTCATTTAATTGCCTAATTTCTTTGACATCGCCAGAGAGCATTACTTTGCCGCTTTCTGATGTTTCTGTTACGTTTGCTAGGCAACGTCAGATGCCAACGTCATCCTTGTGACGTCATCAACCCAACGACGGGGCAACGGCTAAACTTAAATTGATTTTAAAACATATATTTATAGCCAGAATAACTTGTAAATGGTTTTTATGTGTAAAGCAATACAAAATCAATGCAAGTCACCGAAAACTATTTACTTTTTAATTAATGATAAATCACGATTTGTCGTCTCTAATTCGGTTTCCGCTTCCGCCATCTTTCTTTCCGGTTTTGTGCCCTCTCGTAGCCATCATGAAGTGAGTGTACTGAATATTATCAAACGCCATCTGCACACTTTAATAAATGTTCAATCATTTAATCTGTCTTAAGTTTGAATGTGTATCATCTTCTTCTAGTGATGGCTTATATTTGTCGTTTTCAGGGTCGAGTTGTGCAGTTTCAGCGGGTATAAAATATACCCCGGCCATGGCCGCCGATACGCCAGGATAGACGGAAAGGTAACAAGTCTTTCCCCCGCCGGCTTCAAGTTACTCTGTTTTTAAACGATAAAGAGAGCTTCCTACTAAAGTCTTTATGTGTGCTGGTTAACTTGTTTGTATTGACCGTATAGGAGCAGATATAACCAGGTCAATTACACTCTTATGATCTGCTAGCCGTTAGCTTCGACAGTTAGCATCTAAACAGAAAACTACTGAAGTGTCACAGCTGAATTCTGCTGTTATTCTTTTAATAAAAAGCTTTATAGTGTTTATCTAAAATAATCAAACGTTTCCTGATACTATGAATGTTTACAAAAGCAGTCACTATTTACTAAACTGCATTTTGTTTACTTGTTTAATGCACTTTGCTGAAATAATTAACTAAAAACTCAGTAAAATGGGATTAACACTTTGATTACAGCTTTAAAATGTTATTCTGTGTAAATGTCAAAATGTTGTTGTTAGGTAGGGATGGTAATTTGTGTCTTGATGCCACATATTATTGTACATTACAGAATGTGTTTCATAATACAGTGATGAGTCCTGAGGAAGTGAATTTGAAACAGTTAAAATAAATACTAAAAGTCAAGTTAACTTTATTTATAGATCACATTTATAACAGCAGAGGCAGACCGAAGTGCTGTACAGTAAATTAGGCAAAATACATTACATCCAAAACATCATAAAAACATGTGAAAGCAAAAATTAAAACTCAAAACAGTAGTAAAAGTTGTAATAGACACTGCTGCTGGGATAAAACATTAAACTAGAGGTAAAAGCCGAGGAGAAGAAATGGGTTTTTATAAATGACTTGAACTGTTCATTTGGTAATTTGTTTAATTTCTTTTTAAGGTGTTCCAGTTTTTGAATGGCAAGTGTGAGTCTGCCTTCCTCGCCAAGAGAAATCCAAGACAGATCAACTGGACCGTTCTGTACAGGCGCAAGCACAAGAAGGGCCAGTCTGTGAGTAACAAGTTGAGTCATGGTTTGTCTGTGTTGGAAGAAGCAAACAGATCAGTCTTTTTTTTTATCTGTTCTGTTACTTAATTGTAAGTTCAGTCCATATCTTCTTTCACAATATGATATAATGCGTCTAGCAATTATTGTTTCATGCCTATATTATATTGTGTGTGTGTGAGAATCGGTAGTCTGTCCTTCTGGGATAATTTAAGTCATCTTAATCTGAATTTGGCGTCTGGCCCTTTTTAGTATATGCATATACTGATTTTTTTTTTATAGTTAAACCTGTATAAAATGGTTTAAGTATTGTAGGACATTAACTGAAGTGTAAACATTCTGAAAACATCCCACCATATTGCAGGAATTGGTTATGCACACAAATCATAGTTTGTTCTGTGCTTACATTGAACACTTATATTTTCCCTCAGTTGAACTTACTCATTTGGCTGCAGGTGAACGGTGTGCACAGTGTCAGTCTGTGTTATGTGTTGTTGCTGGACTGTGTTTTTCAGTCTTAGCAGCAGTGCTCACTCCACACCTACAGCCATAGAACAACAGGAGATCATAGTACTGGCTCTTGACGTCTTACTGACACCTCACCATTAGTCAGCCTCCAAACTCTCCAACAATACAATCATGTTGTTTTTCTTAGTCTGATTTTCATTACGTCTAGCATTTGTAAGTAACCTGTAACTAGGTGAGTCTGCAGGGCGTACCTTAGTTTCAATTGCAGCAGTTTAACATTTTCTTTGTGTAGAATTTGATGTTATACCAAACAGACCATAGATTCAGATACATTGATCCTGATAAATCTGAGTTTCTTAAGAAATCCGCGTTGATGTTGATGCCCAAATATCTGTAAATAAGTTATTTTGCAACAAATGCTTAATGGCTTTTATTATAACATTAAAAGTCACTGTAGATTATAAATCTGTTACGTAATTTTAGATGGAAAGTTTCAGAGTAAACAAACAGTCTTGATTTTGATGGTTTCATACACTGTTTATTCTGCTACAGAGAAATGTTAACTCGGTTTGACCCATTTTAGGATGTTTTGACTTGTTTTAAGAAGCCCTGGGAAAATGCCATTAGTTTTTACTTAATACTTTTTTAGTGTTTCTTCTTCCTGCACCTCTTCGTTCTTTCTGTAGGCCTAAGTGAAAAGAAAGGTTGCCTTCACATTGTACTGCTGAAACGGAACAAAGTGAAATAAAAGTTCTTCATAGGTTTTGTAAAGTTGAAGGTTATTACTTTAATTCTGACGCTTTAGACATTGTTAAGTAATATTTTTCCCAATTTTTGTTTTAGTTGAACTTAATGTCTCGCTTTATTGATTGAACACCTTCAGTATGTCAGTGTCACTTAAACCACAGTTCATATGTGAGCATCTCAGTCCTCCTTTTGTCGTTAGGCTGGTCTTAACATGTTGATATTCGCCTTCTAACATACAAACATCTTGTCTTTATTCGGTCTTAACAGGAAGAGGTGACAAAGAAGCGTACCCGCCGTGCGGTGAAATTCCAGAGGGCCATCACTGGGGCCTCCCTGGCCGAGATTATGGCCAAGAGGAACCAGAAGCCCGAGGTCCGCAAGGCCCAGAGGGAGCAGGCCATCAGGTGAGGGCACCAAGTGTTCTGTTAGCTATTGGCTTTTGAGAACTGATTTTGTTTTCAGGTTCCTAAAGCTCTTAACGGGGTTAAAGTATTCCGTCACTGTGCCGCATCTCTGGTGTGAGGCCGTGAGAGTAAAAATAAATACCGGTGGGGAATTTGTTGTTTAAGTTTTATCATGTTTGAGTTGATGGAGTTCCCGTAATAATGGTATTTAACCCAGCTGTTGTATCTCAAACTTACCAAAGTTATTAGCCAATCAGAAGCGGAGTAGGGCAGGCGTGTAGGGCGTGTTAGCAGGTTCTGCTCGGCTTCAAATGGAAAACCAATTCATGAAACCTGATGATGTCATAATGGTGGAAAAAGGGACCTAGATACAAACGGAGCTGGTGCCTCAAACTGTAGGAGCTGGAGCCTCAAACTGTAGGAGCTGGAGCCTCAAACTGTAGGAGCTGGAGCCTCAAACTGTAGGAGCTGGAGCCTCAAACTGTAGGAGCTGGTGCCTCAAACTGTAGGAGCTGGTGCCTCAAACTGTAGGAGCTGGTGCCTCAAACTGTAGGAGCTGGTGCATGTTTTTACTGGAGTAATATTCATGCATGTCACAGGTCTGTACGCTCCACTCTGCAGGGGACCAGAGAGACAAAGATGTCCGCTGTTATGTCTTTGAAAACGGTGTAGTTTCCCGTTTGGTGCAGCCCCTTGCTGTAGATGTGATTGCTTTGTCCTCATAATAAATCTTCCCACACAAGTTTTGCAATTGAAACTTTTTGTTGTGTTGCACGGACCCACCGGAGAGAAATGGTGCCTTCAGTGCCGTCTGTACATCGGCAATTATTTCTGTGCAGCGTCCTGTATCTGCGCTCGTTGTGCACGCAGGCAGGTGCGATTGTGCCTGTCGTTGAGATTGTCCCGACCCCTCTTCAACAAAATAAATTCACAAAAAATAGGGCGGGGTAAGATCACCTCTTCACTACATTGGGTGAACATGTGTCTGATGAACACTTGAAGAGTTTAAAGAGTTTTTATCATAATTATAAAGTTGTGCAGAAAGCTGATCAGGATGCAGGAATGCAAAGAAATGTTCGGTGCTCAAATCTTTAATTATCCAAAAGAATATACATCTCATCTGGTGCTACATGTGAGCAGAACCAACATATCTACAAGTCTGAGTTAATGGATGATTCCACAGATGGCTTATATTGTGCACTTGATGGCTGAGGCCGTCATTAATTTATATAAATCTTCAGTATTAGTGTTATGATGATGTCACTTTGTTCTCTTCACAAGCTGGAGATGCATCACCTTTTGGTTATTTATTAATGTTTGTCATGTTTTTGTTCTCTACCACAAGTTTTAATCACACAGTATAACACTTGATAGTTACACATTTCCAATTGAGGATTCTCTCCCACGTGTTCAGTCTGGTTTATTGTTTCTCTTTATTCTGTCAGAGCTGCCAAGGAGGCCAAGAAGGCGAAGCAGGCAACCAAGAAGCCCGCTGCTCCAAGTGCAAAGGTAAGAACTTGTTTTTGGAAATTTACTGCATCAGTGCACATTTTGTGATTCCAGTGTTTCCATTCAAGAATATTATTACAGGGTACTAAATGCCATTCTATTAGTACACAACTACTTACCTGAAACATGCCAGATTGTAAACTTCAACCTCCTTGGTTTTGTAACAGACATCGTGCTGGTAGAGGCTTTAGGGAGCTTGGCTGTAAACTTATTTAGTATTGTGTTTTGTAACATTGTGTTGTTGTTTTTTTTTCTTCTATAGTCTTCTACCAAGACTGCACAGAAACCCAAGATCGCCAAGCCGATGAAGATGAGCGCCCCACGCGTTGGTGGAAAACGCTAAGCCTGGCTCTTGTTTATGGTTGTGAATAAAACATTTTTGGCTTACCATCATTTCGATTTTTGTTTGTTGTGTACAACAAGAAGAAAACCATAAAAGGGCCTTTTATATTTATCAATGTTCTTTTAACTGTACAGCGATGTGGAATTTACTAAGAATGAACCTGTACATGGAATTAATTTCAGTATTTGGTTACCATGGCTCCATAATCACTAGGTTTTGTTTTACAAACTAAATGGTTATATAGCCACATTGATTTACAATGTGGAACTAAATGAAGTCTGTGAAGGCTGTGAAATAAGTAACCTGTATTTATGTTGTTAAATGCAGAGGAATTTAATGCAGCATGCCAAAATATGCAATCGCCATGGGTGAGTGTTGGGAATTTAAGATTAAAACTTTCCTCAAATCAACTTCAGTCTGAAACCATCTGTGCTGCAGGTTGTTTGATGCAGAAATGTGGGTTCAGTTGCCTGTAGTGCAAACCGTGAGCAGCAGGGGGAGCTGTTGTTTCATTGTCTTTATGTCTCCTGACCAAAGTGAGTCAGTTTTGTTTGTAGTAGAAACAGCTCTCTACATTTGTTATGTATCCAGAGGCTGTTTAAAGCCTTCTGCATCAACTGTTGACAGGAAAGTAATGAACTTAGTGGAATTAATATATACACAGGTTTTAGGTATTTGTACTTCACTTGAATGTCTGTCTTACACAGCTTTTGTACTTTGTTCTACTTCATCTCTTAGCCTCATATTGAATTTTACACCAATTCATTAATCAGTGTGTCATATTTATCCATTCCATCATGCCAATCTGGATAAAACATTTATCTCAACTTTAGATTTTTGCTTATGAGTGGAGAATCAAGATTTTCTAGCAAACTCACTGACATGAGGTGTGAAGGTGCTTTCACATGAAGTTGACTTTATGGACACATGGATCTCACAGGAGAGCAACCATGATTATCTTAAAGAATATAAAGTTCTAGTATTTAGAAGACATCACCCAACAGTATATAAATCAGTTAAATTTAGCACAACCTTCAAATTCTACATGAGTGGATTCTAACCCTCAATATGCAGTGAAGGTTTAATCGACATTCATTAAACTAACGATTTAACAGAACAGTGAGTGCTTTGACACAATAAAGATTATATACTTAAAGTTTTCAGTGCAGGACGTTCACTTCAGAGTATTCTCAAAGTGTGGATTTGCAGCATCTGAATTACTTGTTGCATTAGTCATCATACAAACTTAAAGGCCAATAAGATGAAACATTTGGCTCATAAAAGTTGAAAATAACTGCATGATAAAGTTTGCTTGTCTTTCCTAAAACCCAAATCCTTTTTCTTTATATTCTATTAAAAAGCAGATGCATGGGGGACGCTGGCAGCGTAGTGGTTGGTGCGTGTGCCCTATGTATGGAGGCTGTAGTCCCTCAAGCGGACGGCCCAGGTTCAAATCCAATCTGTGGCTCCTTTCATGGCATGCATGTTATTTCCAACTCTCGCTCTCTCTCCCTGATTTTCATATCAATTCAGTTTCCTGTCTCTACAATAAACGCCTAAAAATAAATCTTTAAATTTTTTTTTAAAAGAAGCAGATGATGTGGTAGGGATGAGACTTAGAAGTTATTGAAGAGGACGGAGATACGCAGAGGGAAAGTTAATAAATAGCCTTTAATTCACCGGGGGCCAAAGATGATCCCCCTGAGTGTCTCAGATCTCTTCAAATCTTTGAGTTTGTTATTGGAGAACGACTAAGAAAAGCAGAAACCTTCAAAGAAAATTGGAATAGGATGTCAGTAATATTTTGCATTTCTTCCTGAAAAGTGGGCAATCAATTAATAATCAATTAAAGTAGCAGGTGACCCATAAAAACAGCAAGAAATGAGCCACATTCGACAATGAATAAAGTTCCAAGTGCACGACCGGAAGAAGACTTAAACAGACAGAAAAGTCAGCACACTAAATGTCCTTCGAGTTCCTTTTATCTGGGAAAGAGCAGCGTTCAAAACATCGCTGGACGCTGATCTATCCCAGATTAAAGTTACTTGAAGGACATTTAGAGGGCTGACTTTTTTGTCTCTGTTCAAGACACATTAAAATGGGACACTTCTGGGGTGTGGGTAGCCTAGTGGTTAGTCCTGCAAGCGGATTGGCTGGAGTTCGATTATGGTCTGACCTGTGGCTCCTTTCATGTCGTGCCCCACTCTCTCTCTTTCCCTGATTTCTGACTCTCTCTAAATAAAAGCAGTATAATAAACCCTTCAAAAAAGTGACATTTCTGTGATTAATATTAATTGTACTCTGATAAAACTAGGGGGCAGATTTAAGAATGCAGAGGTCAATGACACCACCATCTTTTCCCACCTTGTAAAAGCTTCAACGTCTTCAGCTCAGGTCATTCTATAAGTGTTAAGTACAAGACGTTGATTCTTTAAACCAGCTGTTGGTGTCAGAAATCATTTATTAGTATAACATATCCATTACAGAGCCATAATGACCAACCTTCAGTGTCATTTGTTCAGTCAGCAGATCATGAGAAGTGATGACACTAATTATTGCTAAAACAGTCAGGAGGGGTTCTGATGTGGAAGTTAGTGGGAGCAGTTCTAATGCAGAGGGAATATAAAACATCTTTCTAGAAACAGACAAGAGGTGAACTGTTGATGATGAGCATGTCACTGCGAGCGTAACAATCAAATACTGCACACGTTTAGAAGTGATATCTGAGTTAGAGTACCTGATAAGAAGCAGAAAAAGGAATATATTCATACAGTTTTCACTACATGAGATTTTTTTTTTTTTTAATCATGAGTCATAAATTATGAATTCCACTCACACACACATTAAAAAGAATTAAAGCCATGAGGAACGAAGGAAGGAATCATGACATGGTAATCAATAATGATTTGATTATCGATGAGGTACACATGGCGGGTGACTGATGCCGAATTCTAAATAAGAAATTCAAATATCGTTGTGATGACATCCCGGCTGTGTCTCTTTTGGAAAAACATTCCTTAAACTACGTTTCAACACAAATCCAGGAGTTAGATGTCTTGATGTTTTTGGGACTTGATGATGTTCATGAGGTATTGATTGCTACCTGAAAAAAATGATGATGGAAAAGCAAAAGAAGTTATAAAGCATGAACTTAAATTAAAGAATGTACAATCTTACAGCTTGTTGAACAAGGTGTACTTGTGCGTTGATGACCTCCATTCTTGTTTGTGTGTTGACTACAGTTAAAAAAAAAAAAAAAGTCCTCTCCTTCTTTTTTTTTTTTTTTTTTTTTGGAAACGCCCTGAGGAAATTAGAAACTTAAGGAAAAGTGCACATTTCCAACAGGGACAGCAGGCTTAATGTGGTAGAATAATGATTATGGCATGGATGTTATGGAGACAGCATGGTGTGACGTGGAGATGACGAGAAGGGGCAGCGTCGTGCCCGGATGTGAAGTCTCCCTTTTCAGTCCTCTGCAGGGACCGGAGTGTTGTCACAGAGCGCTCTCAGGACTCTGCGGGCTCTTTGGCCTCTTTAGCCAGCGCCTTCTGATCCTGTTTGTGCCTGAACGAGAAGAAAAGACGAGAAACATTATGAGTGTCTCAAGGTTCAAATGTGACTTTTTATTAAAGTTCAGCCTGATCAGTGACAAATAAAACATGAGCCACAACAAGTTAACGAGGGGCGGAGCAAAACATCGATACAGCAATATGTACAGTAGCTTCCTGGCTCGTGTGATTATTAAATCGCTTGTGCCAAATACTTAAAAACATGCAGCACTTTAAACACTTGTCCCTCATGATGGTGCTTATCACATGAATGAGTGAGGTCACATGACCAGACGTTAGTAAGCAAAAGAAGAAGTCGACAGCAGGATGCGAGTACAATAGAGGAGACTAAATAAATAAATACATGTATCCTGTGCTTTCCCTTATTAAGAGGCATTTTAGATGATGCAGTCAATCGAATATTGTGATGCAGCAGTTTAGTATTGTCTTGCAATAATCAATTATCATAAAATCGTAGAGCAATATTTATTTTATTACCATATATGTCCTTAATTATGCTGCAACTCCCACCCTTAATTAGAACCACATCTGCTACAGGAACAGAGGCACCACAGGTCGCCTCACCCTGACCCCATGAGGTGATCAGAAAACCTTTTTGTAATCTCTTATTTTTTTAACCTCATCGTTTAATTTGAACACTGTGTAAAAGATTTGGGATAAAAAAAATATATATAATAATAAAATAAATAAAATATGCAACATAGGTTAGGTCACAAATCTTTTTTTTAATTGAAGGAGCAAACATTTTATTTAAAACATAAACCAAAAGAATCTCTAAGAAAGACACATCTGTGTTCTGTTCAGGTATTCCAGTTACCCAAGTCCCTGAGTTTTGTCTCTCAGGCTAAAAAGCAGGTTTTCCTACATTACAGTCAACACTGAGTCGGCGGGGGTCGATCTCGCTCATTCATTCCCCTACAGCTGGTTTGTTTGTGTCCCATGTGAGGATGTTCTCTCTGACAGTTTTTGAGTGGTTGACATTAGAAACACAGCACACAGGGTGACTTCTGTACGTTATACATTTACTGTCACTCTTAAAGTGTGAGCTACAGAACGCCGAGTCAAACATTAACTTGTAATCAGCAATGGGTTTAAAAAACATTTATCAGAGACTTCACTTATATTTCATCATGTTTTATAATCTATTGTCTAGATCAGTGGTTCCCAAAGTGGAACCAGCCACCAAGAGGGGGATTGCAAAATGCCTTCCATAAAAAATCATTTAAAAAGGGCAAAAGTATATATTTTTTACCCATTTTTGTAAATATACAAAAAGTAGTCCAATGTTATATAAGACAGTATCGTTAAGTGAAATTAATGTGGACATTTTTTATTGTTTTTAGGCTGTTGTATTATTTTGTGTTCCTAGTTTTTGGATAGGTTTATTAGTGTGTGCGTGGCTGTCACTACGTTTTATACCTAACTAACCACCTTAAAGAACAGTGGGGGGGTCCCCAGTTTCTGTCACCCTTATTTTAGGGGTCACGACCTGAAAAGTTTGGGAACCCCTGGTCCAGATGGTCCAAACAGAGACTATCAGCTGTGATTCATTGCTCAGTTATTCTGTACAGGAACCACAAACCTCCAGATCCTGTAGAGCTGTGAAGCTCCCGCGCTGCCCACAAAGAAGTTGACACAGAACAGGTTCCAGTTCTTTGGGATGATGACCAGTGAGTATCTGGACCAGATCAGGCCTGACGTAGAGGGACGGCAGTGAGAGTGAAGGTTAGGACAGTGAAAGGTAACAGGACAGAGTCTATGTTTTGTGCAAAAGAGACACAGATAAGATTTGTTTGAAGAAACATACTGCAAAAGCTGAAACATCAGACAACCTTTAGCACAGATTAGTCAAATACAGAGCGGACGGAAGAACGTCAGGAAGTCAAAGCGAGAGGTTACTAATGAAGAACTTACATGATTCACATTCAGAAATTCATATTTTTTACTTACCATACCAACACAGTATTTTACCATGATTCATTTTGATTAGAAAAACAGGATGTATAACTCCACATTGTTTTTAAGAAACAGCTATTTCTCTGGATCTCTATTTAAAATGAATAATAGTAATAATAATCACCTGTGGCTGTCAGCACTGCAGACTGGGAGGTACTGAGTTTATCTGCTGGTCGAGTCATGTCAGCCAAACCAGCACCAACCAGACCCTGGAGACGTTTAGGAAGAGACCACGTTTGATTTAATATATCAAAGCTAGTGCAGGTTTTTTTTTACCAAGTATTTCAATTTGCTGCACACTTTATTTAAAACCAATGTCTACAGAAATAAGAAAACATGATCATTAATATAAAAAGCAACGACTGGCAGAAATTAAGAAGCATGAGCATAAAAACGAGAGTTATGAAGAATGAATACTAAAAACAACAAATAGAGGTAAACAGTAATGAAGGAGCAGGAGCATAAAAAAACGAGTGCAGGCAGAACTATGTAAAAACTTTTTTTAAAGAAAGTAAAAGTATTTAGCATGTTTTAATATGAATTCAGAACATGTACATATACAAACTTGAGTCTATGACAAGGTCTGGATACCCTGATAGGTGAATTAGTGGATATTTTTACATCATGTATCTTTCAGTGGACCAGCCAACAGGATGAGCAACATGTAATAAAGGTGCTGTGTGCAGATTTAGTTTTTTGAGATCACAGTTGAGAACTCTAAAGTTGACATTAACCTGTTTTTAAACTTTGATATGATCTGAGAAAAACATCGAGTCCTGTTTTGATACCACTCTCTCTCTCTTTTACTTGAGCAGCTTTTGATAAAACATATGACTGAAGATCTGAAGGTTTTTAACTTTTTAGTTCTTCTTCATACTGTCGATCGTTCAAATAAAGTTGATATTTTATTGTTTACAACACGTATCAAAAGCTATCAAAGTATTCATTTTGAGAAATCTTAGAGAACACTAGTCTTTGGAATTCCTAGAATCTGTTGAAGTGTTTGAACATGCTCGACTCACCCATTTAAACACGGGGGCCCAGAAGAAGACGGTTTTGGGACCTGGAATGAAAAAAAGGTAAAATTAAATTCTGCACATTTGTTCAAACAATCTGATTTCACATCACAGTTTTTTAAAGGTTTTCTCTGAAACAGAGCTTATGCATCTGCATGCGTCTGCATGTAAAGAAGGCCTGTCAGCATCTCCTAGTTCATTACAATCATTACGATATGAAGCATTCATTTTTTTTTTTAATTGCATGCAATCTTGTCCCTTTGGGTGCACCGTGGATAAGCCTCCTCTGTGTCTCCCTGATGTCACAGAGAAAGAACAACTCTGCTGCGTCTTGTCTCTTTCACATTAAAACAAACTCAGACCGTTCTTTGAGCTGTTTCCGTTTAGTTTTTGATCCGTAATGAGTTCCTTTTTCCATTGTGAATGTCTTAACCTTTGATCTACCAGAAGGTCCTTCCTTTAGTTCAAAATAAAAGCAGGTATGAATTCAATCAGCAAGGAAAATACTCTCAGTTTAAGACATTTCAAAGCCTAGTCATTTTTATTTTTTTAAATGCAAAAGAATGAATTTTTAAACGTGAAAATTTGTAATTGCATTAACTGTATTAATCACGAGTAACTATTGAAATTCAGCTGTGTGATAGATAATGCGACACCTCAGTGTGTCCCAATGTACTGAAAGCAGAATAACAGAGCTTCTTTAACTCTGTAAACTTCACTAACAAGAAGGTGAAACATCTGAGGAGACACTGAATCTTATAATCTACAAACCCTTTAATGATCAAAAACATGTGCATAACTCAAACTATTCACAATAACAACATACTGAAATGACTAAATGAGCTTCTTCAAAGCTAAAAAAATAAAGCTGCAACTAGTGGATATGTAGTTTTGGTCAACGTGGTCATTCTTTTCTGGATACATCTCTGCGTTGTTTGATCCAGAAAATGCCAGGAATGTTACAAATTGTGAAAACGGTTTCAAAATGCAGAAGAGGAAGTGCTCACGCTTTTGTTTAGTCCACAACCCAAAGATTTCTGTTTTCTGACAAAGGAGTGAAAAAACAGCCCAAAACCTTTAAACATTTAACAACCTGAAATAAGAGAAGTTCTACTGGCTTTTAATTTGCTCAATTGTCTCAATCAGTTATCAAAACGTTGCTAAACATTTAATAGTCAACTGCTAATTGATAATTAATTGCAATAAAACACATGTTGTAATACTAAAACAAAACAACTGATGAAGAATTCAGCTCGATCTCCTTTGGACACCTAAACAGAAAACCAGAAAAGAGTGCAATATAATATAACAAACATTTCCCTGTTGCTTGTGTAAATGTGTTTTGCATATGACACATAATAAATCACCCATGCCACTGAACATTAACAGAGGCACAGACCTTGAAATATGTGTTTTGTTTTTACATTTGTAATACCAAATGCTATAACATCTTTTATTTTGTCTTAGTTGAAGTTTTCTGTCAGAGACACTTTATCTTCCATCCAGGCTTATCTTGTGAGTTAAAAGATAAGATGTACATCCAGAAAGTCAAACCTGAGCCTCACTAACTATTGTGCAAAAGTTAAGTTAAGAAATGTCCAGGTCAGGGCCATAAAAAAAAAAAAAGCTGCTGATCTGGAACCAGCCTCCCTCACGATCCCGCCCTGTGCTGAACTAAAAGTGGGTCTTGTGTCACTGCAAATCATTGTTGAGGGAGTCGGCTTTTTGTTGCCTCCCCCTTCATACCTGCATGGAAAGAAAGTCGTCCTTGACAATCGGAGCTCCAGTTCTCTGACACAGACAAAACATGAGATCAGACTATCCCTGGTGACGCCAAACACTCACTAATCTCAGTCCTCTCGTGTTAATATCAGAGTCAAAGAGGGCTCCATGTGTGTACAAGTTCTACTTACTGGATAAAAGGATAAAGCAGTCTTATTCGATAAAAGCCACCAGTTGGTGCTGCTGATGTGGATATACTGGAAGAATTTTTTTAACTTTGTACAGCCTGCCGTCTTTAATAAGGAATGGAGTGTCCAAAATAAACCTACATAGAGGTAGGATTTATTAAAGACTTGTTGAAAGACATCGAGTGGGCAGTGGGAATAGAAGCTACTTCAATATGTACCAAAGTAACGCAAAATTTAGACAAATCAGTACAAATCACTCAATGAGTTAAGATGTAGCTGTCTGTATGAGGCATTTAATAGATGCTAAATACATGCAAATCTTTGCCTTTTTCGCTTTTCTCCTTATAAGTTTGAGTTGTGGATTTTGTGAGTCGTCAAAGTGAGACATTTGAAGAAGCAGCGCAGGATTTTTCTGGCACAACTTCACCATCAAGGTGCATGAAGAGTGAAAGGCTTGAAGACGTCAAAAACCTCCAGCAACACTTGAAGTATGTAGACCAACTTTATTTACAGATTAGAAAATGTGAGCTCTGCCAATGAAAGGCGTCTGATCCAACCTTCACAACAGGGTCCTAAGTCTCTGACTAGACTCTTCTCCTCTGTCGCCCCCCGGTGGTGGAATGAACTTCCAAACTCCATGTGATCTGCAGAGTCCCTCTGCACCTTTAAGAAAAAGCTAAAGACCCAGCTCTTTCATGAATACCTACTAACTTAATGATGATGGTCTCCATATTATTGATGATGATGATGGTAATGACGATGGTTTTTGTTTGATAACGACGACTTATAAGATGGTTTCTATACTGATTAGAGCTCTCAAGAACTGCCCTCAATGTTGTGCTTTGCCTCTGGTCACTTCCTGTCAGCACCTGTGTGTCCAATCAGACTCAAAGCTGATCGTTTGCTCTTACTCACATTGTTCCCTTTTTTCTAGATCCTTGCTTGTGTTGTTCTTACTCTCTGATGTACGTCGCTTTGGATAAAAGAGTCTGCTCAGTGAATTGTAGAAAAAATGCTTTCCGGCTTGTGGCCTTCATCGGATCATCCCAAAGTGAGACATTTTAAACCCCATGTAATGCTTTCTGTAATCCAAATGAGTTGTGACTAAGACGTATGGATGATTAAAGGATATTTAAGGATTGCACTTCTTAGTTGTTGTTGTTTTTTTTAAATCATCAAAATACACCTGCAACAACTTTTGTCCATTTTAAACTCTATTCATCAAGTTAATCATGTTTCAGTAGGAGTAGAATAGTTAGTAAGTAAATGAGTGTTTGACATTTTAGTCAGATATGTTTTATTATTTATTATTTTTATGATAAAACCTTTGAGCTCATCAATAAACTTTGTCTAACAACACTTTTCCTTCCATAACATCAGATCTTCTTCTTCTCAGACTGAGCTACTTACTGTGATCCCAACAGATTAGAGTCTCCCACAGCAACACCAGCAACACCAGCAACAATTAAAACAATAGACTTTCATACAGACATGGAGAGGAGAGAGAAGAGAGGGGAGAGGAGAGAGGAGAGAGGGAGAGAGGAGAGAGGAGAGAGGAGAGAGGAGAGAGGAGCATCCACATCACGTCCACCACCAGCTGACACATCCCAAACTAAAAACCCAGCTAACTAAAACATGAGAGATAGATTCAGCATTACCTGCAGGGTGGTTGTACAGAGGTCTCAGCTTGGCGGGCAGCATGTGCTCGATCTTGTCCAAAATCCTGTGATAGGAAACTCTGAGCGCAGCCATGACTGTAACCTGCAGGGAAACTTACAGCTAGCTTGCTAAATGGTAAGCTAACTAAGGAAGCTGTTGTTAATAGTCGGATATTTGTATGTTTCAAATCGTCTGCCGGCTCCTGTCGAACAGCTAAAGGACAGGAAGTTGATGCGATAGGAGAAGGATGCTGCTGTCCTACTGTCGACCTTCCTCCGGCTTCACTATGACCATGTTAGCTCTGCTAGCTGCGGTAGCTTCTGTCTGACCGTCACAACGAAGAGGTGACTTTCTCTACGATGCAACCTACCGCGTGTGGGGGCGGGGCTACACGTTATCTCGATCCGTATTGGACCGCTTGCGCAGAACTGCAATGCGATTGGCTTAGATAGAATTCGTCTCTTTTGTTGTTCTAGCGTATCCGAAGTGGGCGGAGACGAATCGAATATATTTGGCTGGTTCAACTGAAACATTTATTTAGATTTTAGATGTTTGTTACTTTTCAGCACAATCAACAATAAGGATGATATAATCATTTAAATAATAATAAAAAATAAAAATGATTAAAAATAATGTTTTTAAACGTTATTACAAATGTTTAAGTCTATAAAATACATTTCTAAAATAAATATGTATTCTGCCATTTTTGTGTTTTTCTGCTTGTTGTATATATTAAATCCTGGTTGTATATATTCTCATTCTTAGTTTTGATATTTTAGTGCTTATTTACTTTGTATTTAATATTATATTGTGTTTAAATTTGCTAATATTGTGTTTTTTGCTCATATTGTGTGTTTGGACAACCTGCTGCTGTAACGCCACAATTTCCCAGTTTTGGATCAATAAAGTAATTCTATTTTATTATTCTATTCCAGGGATGGGCAACTTTGGTCACAGCAAGGGCCACATTCATTTAATTCTCACCGCCAGAGGGCCAAATTGTAGGACATAAAAACGATTACAGTCAATTATGTCTCAAATTTAACTTGTACACCAGTGATCAAATATCATTATGGACATATTTCTGGTTTTCAATGCAGATTTTGTCATGTTTTCTTCCATGTTTCCAATTAATTGATGTGTAAAAATTGAACTGAGGGCCACGTTGAGGGTTGATGGGGGCCGCATGTGGCCCGCGGACCGCCAGTTACCCACCTCTGTTTTATTTTATTATTCTATTTTATTCTATTCTATCCTGCTAGATTTCTTTTTTTTTTTACAAATCAAAACCTCTACCTGGGTAATCTCCGCCTTGGCAGCTGCTTGGCTTCCATAAACGAGCGCTCCTATCCTCTAAGGGGAAAAAAAACAAAACCTCGTGCAGACTCTCGCGTTGTTTGGACACAGCTGTCCGCTGTCCGCTTGGGAGAAATAATAAACCAGGCTATGCTAGCAGAACGGGCAGAGAGTTAGCGGCGATACAGTGAATGTAAACTCGGCAGGACCAGCGGGACACGGGACAGGAGCGAGTCTTTACCCCAGCAATGAAACTATCCAGTGTCGCAGCTGGCTAACGAGAACACCGTCCGTCCCGACAGACAGACACGGGATTTGATCTCAATGGGAGAAAACCCGGAGCGACGATAAATAACAGGCGACATCAGACGGGGGGGAAAGGGTTAGCTCGGTTTCAATGTTATTGTCAATTAAAACTCACATTTGGCCACAATGTCCTGCTCTGGAAACCTGGTTTGGGATGTAAATAAACGCTTAATTGGATACAACGAGCCCAACACCATCAGGACCAACTACTTAGGTAAGAACAAACAAGCTGCTTTAATGCTAACTGGGAACAGAAGAATAACATGCAGTGTTTTGATAATGTGTGTGTGGCAGGTAAATCCACTGCAGGCTGCGTGTGTGTGTGTGTGTGTGTGTGTGTGTGTGTGTGTGTGTGTGGCTGACAGCAGCTAGACCCAACATGACTTTGCTCCAAACCCATTATTAGACCGACCTGCACAATAACAGCTGAGTTTCTCCTCCAGCATCATCTCCTGTTCCAGTTAAAGCACTACATAGATGGGATTAAATGTTATGTGTAACGTTAATCCTTCATACTGGTGCTGCTCTCTGTGACGTTACATCCTTTTTTTTATATATATATCTCCTGATTAACAGTGAACAGATTCCACTAAAACAGTCTCGCCATAAAAATCTTAGAAAAGCCTTTTTCGTTTCACCATTGCACTCTTTTAGATAAACATCATTTACTACATTTTCATAATTTAGTTCATTTTTTATTTATTTATTTATTAGCACACATAAAAGAATACATCAAAATAGGATTAACAAAAACTTAAAAGTTGTGTCAGGAGAGGTCAAGAAGCCAACAGGTTTATAAAGAGACCTCACCTCTTAAGAGACAAATAAATCAACTGAGCAAATCGAATTACACAGTTTCAAAACAAAATTAAATATTAACACATGTACAGTAACCTATACACGTATTCATACACACACACTTAGACACATACATACAATAGAAAGACTGAGAATGTTAACCCTCTATCAGCTAAATGAAACAGGCATTCATTTATTAAAAATGGAGTGAATGAGTCGATGGAAAAAGAAAACAATATATTTTATAAATGTAAACGTTTGACCTCGTGGATTAAATGTGAAGACAGTTTCCTTTTAAAAATCTCTGTAGACAAAGAGCTGTTAACGTGTCTTTTGGAATTCCATGTTTGTACCCCACGATGCATTAAAAGTGCATGTTTTATATATAACGTTTTGGACAGACTTGCTCCTCCTCCTTTGAAGGACTTCATAAAGCTGAAGTCTGCCGGTGGGATCGGCATCAGGGGCCACAGCCCGAGGAGACTGTGAGGTCCCATACAGACGCACTACATTCAGACAAACTGTTCTGTCAGTCAAAGGAACTAAATATTGGAATATTCTCCCACTCACAATAAGAGACTCACAAACATATGCAACCTTCAAAACACACCTCAAACAGTGGATAACAGAAAACCAAGTCTGTGACCACCTTTAACCTTTAACCTCTATTATTGTCATGTGTCACTTGTGCCTTTTATTTGTAATTTGTAATTTGTCTTTCTCTATTACCTGCCTAGGGACAACAGATGGAAACTAGCACTTCTGCTATAATCTGGCATTTTTACAGCTGTTCATTAATATGCACTGTCCCTAACAAATAAATAAATAGATGGTGTACAACAGGGCGAAGTATCTGCAGTGACCAAATGTGGGATGCATTTATGAAGGCGTGATGCTCTACAAAGTGGAGTATGCAGGCAGTATGAATGAATCAAAGTGCTTAATGTGTTATCCTCCTTGATGTCTAAACAACAACATATACACCTCTGTATTACTTAACATTTACCAACTATCATTAAAACTCTAAACTTCCTAGAAAAGTAAGGAAATGTGTAATTTTGGAAAAGTATTTTTCTCTTTTATAATTTTTTTTTTTTAAAGTTCAAATATCTTTATTGAGTTTTCATCATATATATATATATATATAAACACACAATACAAAAAATAATAATAAAACATAGAAGGGTTGGGCAGTAATATTCCACATTGCCACAAATGGTATAGTAATGTGCGGAACAAGTAAGACAAACAAGTTTCTACATTTTTTTTAATACCACTCATAACAATAATCAATGAATACTATAGTTTCCTCAACTTTTGCCTCCAAACTGACTAGTCTTTTGAATACTGAAAAAGATACGCACTTCTATAATAATAATAATAAAAAACAGCATTTTCGATGGGCATGAATAAATCCTGACTCGTACCCGAGGAATATGGTGCTAAAAATCTAACTTTATCAAATACTTCATGTATGTACAAAAGTGTTTTTTCAAATATCAAAACAACATTACTACATAGAATAAACAAAAGTGGCTTCCTCAGCTTTTAGTGCAGGTTTTAAGCGTCATAAATATTTCCATCAAGGAAAAGCAGCTCAATCTTTGAGGAAATTATTTTAAAAACCTGGAAAACAGATGTTGTGCTTTCCAGGTGTTTGTGCCACTTTCTGTTTTAAAGTTTTTTTTCAATACATTAAAAATGTCTGCACAGTCGTTTCCAAACACGTTCCATACGACTGTTGTGATATCAGTCATAGCAGGGCATCGTTTTATCACTTGATAGTAGACATAAGGCGATCCAAAAAATGTCACCAATTATCCTGCACAAATCAAACAATCTGTAATACGATAATATATAACCATGGATCAATAAACAAGAAATATCAACCCATATCGTCTGTAAGATACAAGGAGCAGAATATTGTCTGACAGTAAATATACATCTTTGTCTTCAGATGAAAAAGAACAGACTGTTTTTCATTGAACAGCATACAATAACACAATCATATCTAAGATGTTCTTTTGTTGGTAGATATGTAATTTAGTCTTTATACAGGCCAAATGTAATTGTCTTATATTGGTCACAGACCCCTGATTTGATCTAATTCAAAACCATTTCCTTGGAGTCTTTTAGTGATCCAGGATACAATCATCCTTTTGTAATGTAATGTACTTACTAACTGACTTTACATGCAGTTACAGTCTGTAGTATTTTTGCTGTTTGGATAGAATTCAGTCATTTTTCTGGCTTGGTTTAAAGAGAACAACAGTAAAGGGTCTGTGGAGTAAACTGAGGACAGCTCTTAGGCTCACAGCCAGGCAGAGAGCTTTATAAGAGCTGACTGCTGTCAGACAGTCAGCGCCTGACAGTGGTTGAATGAAGATTTATTGGCCCGTCGAGGTGGGGCAGGTGCCACAGAGGTTTAGTCAGCGCTGTATTTAGCCCGACTGAGATATGGCTTGAGCTGTTATTGTGTACGTGTAGAGGAAACATGCAGCTACGTGCTGGCCGGGTCAAAACAGGGTGGAGGGAGGGGGATGGGAGCAACAAGTAGTCGACTTTAAATTCCAACTCAGATACTTCCGGCGAACATTCAGCTTCCCCATGAGGATTCATGTGTTATTAATGACATGAAATCCAGTTTAACGTGTGGATGAGCGGCTCCAGAGTTTCTCTGAGGAGAACATTAAAGATGGAATATTTGAGACACAGCATCCTGTCACAGGTGCATACAATAACTCATCTACCAGGCCGGTCTGAACCAGCTTCTGTTTCCTATTTACTGCCCGAGTATAACAGGATGAAAGATTTCATGTTTTGTTTAAATTTTTTTATTTCAAACATGTTTTAAAAATAAAATAAAAATAAACATTACAATCGAAGCAAACAGCAATCAAAGCAGACTTTCTGTAGTGGCTCGATTATTTCTCCTTAACCAGTCCATGTTCGAAAAAGGGTGTAGGATGAAGTTAAATAACTTATCCAGTCCAACCCCCTTTTATCTTTTCATCTTAACAAATGAATCCAAGACTAAGCTTTAAAAAAATGAAGTTGAATAATATAGATAACGAAGTAACAAAAGCAACAGATATAATGTATTACACACATTCATTGGTAGACGGTACAAACCTTACAACTGATATTGATTCAGTGTTCCCCATTGACTGCTCAATTTTATATTTGTTAAATGTGTTATTCTGGAAAATGTGTTTAAACTGTCCTAATGTTTTACATGTTTTCATTTCATCACTGCAGCTGTTCCATAAATTAACACCCTTAGTTGTAATACAGTGTAGGTTCATGTTGGTCCTTACTGCTGTTTTCTTTTAAACATAAATATTCCTCTGAGATTGTGTTTACTGTCCCTCTGCTGATGATAAATGATAGAATTAGAGGTGCATAAATCATTCTCTCTTATTATTTATCATTTAAATATTTGAGTGATTAATCTATTGTACTATTTGCCAAACATTTCCTGGAAGCTCCTCCTCTATAGCACGACTGTTTGACATCATTGTTAATCAAAATTGTTCCAATTATTAAAAAGAAAAGAATGACCTTCTTAGATATGTAATAATAATGCATTGCATCTTGAAATACGGTGCAACAATCTCTAAGTTAACGCTCACAGCCCCTTATTTATTTTAGTCCTAAACATTAGTTAGTGCTACTTTTATTTCAGGGATGCAAAGATGTGAGATTTTCACTTCTCAAAGTAATCGCAGTGTTTATATTAAAACATGTTTGTTTACTAAAGGTTTATCACTTACATTAAGATTTTACAAAATACATCTATATGTCATATCGGGCACGTCGTGATTACTGTCAGTTCATTTCTTTGTTATGAATTCTGACTTTTATCACATTTCACACAACATGACTTTACACGGCAGAAGAACAAACGATGAGTTCTGACAATTCAGATTGTGATACTGAGTCTAGAGAAAATGTTTCCACATTGTTGGGTTATATTATGACATATGCTTCATCAGTGTGTGAGTCATTGTTACTGTTGGCTCAAGAGGAGGATATGGCATCCCTGATAGTAAACACTCCTGCAACACTAAAACCTGTCGGTGCAAGTGAAAGCTCTCATTTGCATATAAAGCAGCACCGCGCTTTGTCACACCTATGTGTAAGGTAAAGCACTTCCTGGACGAGTTTGTAGGGCTCTTTGGATCGATAAGACAATTTCATTAAGTAAAATAAATACATTTACAGTATGGATGTCTAATTTAAACTTGAAAGTTAAACTATGAAATCCAATTAGAGGACAGAACGAGGCAGCAACATGTAACCCGTTTTGATTCTAAGCTGTGAAACATCCACCCACAGTTAATTTTTTGTGTTTTGAGCCGATAAGTAGAGCTCCTCCATTTCCCATTATGCATTGCATTGTTGGAGAAAAGTGTCAACAGCACACTCAGATGAAGTTTATTGTTTTTAGCCCGCGTGCTGACTGGTTGAGTTGGTTCTAATCTGACCTTTTACAGCGTAAAAAAAACACTATGGACAAAGCTCCCCAAATGATTTCATTATATTTGAAACATTTAAAATGGAAAGATGCTGTTTATAATGTCCTCAGGTCTAAATGTCAGACAACAGCGCAGAGTGTCCTCCTCTAGTTTCAGCAGGTCACATTTTCTACATCTACATTTCTACAATTCACTTAGCAGACGCTTCTATCCAAAGTCAACATATATTTCTTACAAGAGTAAAACACTCTTAAGAGGAAAAGTTTACGACCTAAATATGTGACGTATGGCATCATCCTGAAGTTGGTCCATTAACAATTGATCTTTTATCTTCACAACCGAGTTTTTTAAACATCTCATGAGTCCGCAGAATGACGGTCCAAAAACCCATAAGACCGTGAGAGAGGAGATTCACAAGTTTTTCAAAGTATAGAATAGAATAGAATAGAATAACTTTATTGATCCCAAACTGGGAAATTGTGGCGTTACAGCAGCAGGTTATCAGGGCAAATAAAACAATATATGAATAGATACAAAGTAAATTAGCACTTAAAATATAAAAAAATAAGAATAAGAAGAGATTTCTACATTAAGGATTTAACTTAACATTCTTACTGGTTAAAAAAATGAAATACAACATTTATTCAGGCTTGTCAACTGAATGTAAAAATACTTGCTGGAGGTAAGAGATGTAAGTTTGCGAAAACAGTGATGACAGTGGTACATATGTAATAACAATATAGGGGGTTCTCCAGAGCTGTGCAAATTGGTGGCTGTGCAATCAGAGATATATATGTTAAAGTTCAGGAGTGTAGATACGTTATCAAGTAGAGACTCTCCATCTTTCACTGACTCCAAATTGAAATGGCTTTTCCTTTAAATACCAACTTTGCACTCCTCTATCCCATTTTTTTTTAAACCCAGCTCAGTTTCGGCAGATGGCTGTCCATCATCTTTGGTTTTGCCAAAGATTTCTGCCTCTTAGGAGGAAGTTGTTTTCTTGCCACTGTCACTTTGCTAAATGTTGCTTAGTGCTGTGCTCATGATGGATTAACGTTTGGTCTTTGTAATATAGCAAAGAGTGAGGTATTGAGATAACATTTGTTATGAATTGTCACTATAAAGATAAAGATTGATTGATGGATAATGTGTGATTTACTCACAGCTGTTTTCTCTCTTTTAACAGGCAGGAGAGAGTTTGTCCAGAGGCTGAAACTTGAAGGGACACTGAATGTACATGATGGCTGTGTAAGTACTTCAACCTTGAATTCACTTTTTTATTCTTTTTATATCTAGTCACAACAAAGCCCAGGATCCCAATTAACCCCGATTCCTATCCTGTCCGTTGTCTCCAAACACGACTTTCACTTTATGTTTCTAAATCTGACTCAGTGTTTTACATTTTCACACATTCTGGGATTTTTAACTCTCAAAATCCCAGAATGTGCTTTTTATTTTTATAAGAATGTTGCAAATTCAATCTTCCTCTTCTTTAATACTGCACAGCTCTTTTCTGTTTAATAACGGATACATTTTTTATGGGCGCCGGTAGCCACGTGGTTAGTGCGCCTGCCCGATGTACGGAGGCTATAGTCCTCCAAGTGAGCGGCCAGAGTTCAAATCCGACCTGTGGCTCCTTTCCCACATGTCATTCCCTGCTCTCTCTCTCTCTCTCTCTCTCTCTCGCTCTGATTTCTGACTCTATCCACTGTCCCACCTCTCAATAAAGGCATAAAAAGCCCAAACATTTTATCAGGTCTAATTGCTTAAAACCCACTTGAGTCTACCCGATACAAAAGACCTGTTCAAGTACAAAAATAAATCTCATTTGTCATTTTGCCTTTTGCAACATTCAGCCCCTTTTCCTCAGCCGGTCGTTCTGCCGGCCTCAGTGTGTGACACAGAGCAGCTCTCTGCCCTCGAGTCGGTTGGTCAATGTGAGAAACCTGAAGCTGACACAACAGTCACACGTCCTGTCACACTATCAGCCCGGGCCGTCACTTCATCCAAAACACCAAAAACAACATCAGCACACACGTCCCAGAGGAGCTCCCCTCTCATATCTGCACAGTCTCAACCTGACGTGCTGCAGGGGAAGAAAGGATTGAAGGAACATTTTCAATGCATGACTATGAATGTATTCAGTTTGAATACACTGAGATCCTCCCTAAACTTTGTTTACTGTTAGGGAAGTTGCTCAACAAACAAATGAAGAAGAGCATTGCATGCATTATCACCCTCAGATATGATCGGCTCACAGTTTTAAAATATGAAGATGTTCAGATTTTCTCTGCTGCATAAACTCATCCAGATGTCACCATGTGCTCCTGTAACATGTCATGGACACAGATGAATAATCAACAGGTTTCAACATCTGTTCTCTCACACTGATTTGTTTACGCGTATGTAAATTCAGACCAATGGATGATGCAGCATTTTTTAAACAGAAAGTTATGATAAGGACAAGTGCTATGTGCCTTTAACTGCTGTCTTCATTTTAATAGATTTTTAAAAACTGTCAGAAGAATTTTTAAATAGTTTTTGTAATGTTTTTTTTTTTTTAACTGTATTGCTTAGTACAACACTTTGATTTAAAGCGCTTTATAAATAAATTTATTATAATTCTTTTTGTCCATGCTCGCCAATAATACCTGAAAATGTTGAATTAAGAATCTGGTTTTTGAAAATGAAAATGTCTTATTACCTCACATACTGGCAATTCACAATATTCTATTTTTTGAATAGAAATTCTCTGTGTTGTAAGACTTCCACACAACGTAAACAAAGGACTGGATGGGTTTATTCCATATTTTGTGGGTCGGTAGACACTCAGGTTTCCCAAATACTTAATTTTCTTAATATGTATTTAATGCAAATATATCACACACACGTATGTAAAGGCAAAAATATATTTAGCAGCTTTTCAAGTGAAAAGTTATCCCATTGTTAAACACAGACACACCTCTAAATACCTTTCACAAACCCACAGTCTGTGAAATGACCAGAAACTCTAAATGTACCTGTGCTAACATCTGCTGTGCTGAGCTCTCCCACACGTTCTGTTACACTACAGCCCTGCTGCCTCAGTTGCCTTGTGTTGTTAGTAGGTGGACGGTGTGAGTGTGTTGTTTTTTTCTGTGCTTAAGCGCTCCTCAACCGTGGCAGCTGTTTGATATTTGGTGCTTTGCTTCAGAACATCTTTGTTGCAAAAATCTGTGAAAACAGGGAAGAAGCTGTAAGCCTGCGGTCAATCTGAATGAGTTGCAAAACACATCAAGCTGCTTGGGGTTTTTTTTCTGGTGAAACATAGAGTGAAAGTGTTACATATTGTCCTGGATGCTGCTAACCACATCTGCTCTTTTGTGGAGGCATAGACTGTTAGACTAGGAGTAGACTCCTTTTTTTTTTTTAGTCTGCTGTGCTTCTACATTGTTATAAATAACTCAAGATAACCGCTGTGTTAAAAAAACAACAACAAAGCTATACTGCACATGAGGGTTCCCTTTGTCTTAATCTGCTCACTGGCTGTTCATTTGTCACATCAGCGATGTCAAACAGGCAGATCCAGCACACAAAGTCTGATCTGGCATCGGCTTCAGATGATGATCAGTCACTCAGGAATCAATCGTTGAACCTGCTACGAGATCGAGTCTTGACTTTTGAGCTCGTTGTTGTAAATGGACAGACGGCCATGAGAGTCAAAGGGCCTGTGCAGCCGGGGTGATTTCACTGATTGCAGTGGATTGGGTATTTGGAAATGAGGAGCAAACAATGTGATGAAACAGCGAGTGAAGCTGCAACAAGCAGGCGTTAATGAAATATTGATCCACAGAGCGACAGCAGACGGATTCACACTCTCCATTAATGGGAGAGTAACCAGAATGTGACCAGAATTTGATGGTTTGTTGAGATAAATGAAAGACAGACAGGTAGCATCCTTTAGAGCTTCTTTATGCTTTAAAAAGTGTTTTTATTGTCAGGGTTTTATATCAGTCTGGTTCTGTAACATGTAAAATAACATCCAATCTATTTAGCTAACCTAAAGATCTCTCCATTTGTTTGGACCAGTGGTTCAGAATCTACTGAAGTCTGATATGCTGAGGGTCTTTCTCTTCAAATAGCTTTTTTATTTTTTTTTTTTATTATTATTTACAGACTTCATTTACAGAGCTTTTATTTTGAAGGCACACAGAGGGGGAAGTGTTTTCCTTGATCAATGGAAAGTTTGAGCGTCAGGTCTCTCATAAATACTGCGGCGCAGTTACCACCAACTCGCAGCAGACGCTCGTTTTTCACTTTCACTTAAAGGCAGGGTTTGTAATTTTCTCCAGATCCACTTTTTAAGATTTTGGTTGAAAGTGTCTTCAGGTCCTGACACAAATTAATAACTCATGTTCTCTGAAAAAGGAACGAAGAAAATCCATCATCTGTATCAGTTTATAAGTCTGTAAAAACTTCGACCAATGTCTGCCACGAGGTACCAATCTGATGAACCAATCAGACGCCTCCCCGTCTCCCTATTTGAGCTCTACCTCTTGCATGCACGAGCCCACACTCACAGCATGAGCTGAGGTCCGCTTGTGGAGCAACATCGCTCGTTCATGTAAGCGAGGGGCGTGGCTTTTTTGAACGCTGCTTTCTTTTTTCTTTTCTTTTTTTCAGTACTTGTTAATATGAAATACAAATAATTCACAAATACTTTCTTTTTTGGGGGATCTGGAGTTAGTGATCGTTCAGCATTTTGTTCATCAGGAGTTGTGATTTTACTCTTCTGTCATTCAGCTGCTCCTCTCAGTACTGATGTAAACTGTAACATCAGTAAAAAAAAGATCTCTGGATAATCCCAGTCGTTCTCTCTGTGCAGGTCAACACTATTTCCTGGAACGACACAGGTGAATACATCCTGTCGGGGTCAGACGATACATTTTTGGTCATCTCTAACCCGTACAACAAAAAGGTAAGTCTGATGTACTTCACAATAAAATATCATATTACTGATGTTAATGGGAGAAAAGGAGGTGAATCAAATGTATTTGAATGAAATGAGCAAGAAACTGCAAACTGTAGTGTTCTTGTTGTTGTTGTTGTTGTTGTTCAGGCTCTGATGCAGGTTTTCCTACAAACATGTCGGCTCTGTTGTCCATTAATTGTTGAGGCAGAACATTGACTAAAATAAAAAATTATATTGAGGTCGTTCTTTCTCTCTTATACCAAAAACAACTCTAATAGAAAACATTTCTGGGAAACAACGCAGTGAATCCAGCAGAGCAGACAGTTACCTTCATGTTTTCATCTTATTCACTCATTACAATTCTACAATTCACTTAGCAGACGCTTTTATCCAAAGTGACGTACATCAGAGAGTAAGAACAACACAAGCAAGGGTCTAGAAAAAAGGGAACAATGTCAGTAAGAGCAAACGATCAGCTTTGAGTCTGATTGGACACACAGGTGCTGACAGGAAGTGACCAGAGACAAAGCACAACATTGAGGGCAGTTCTTGAGAGCTCTAATCAGTATAGAAACCATCTTATAAGTCATCGTTATCAAACAAAAACCATCGTCATTACCATCATCATCATCAATAATATGGAGACCATCATCATTAAGTTAGTAGGTATTCATGAAAGAGCTGGGTCTTTAGCTTTTTCTTAAAGGTGCAGAGGAACATTAAGGAGTGGTTCCTCTTTGTGTTTCTTTGTCAGTTTTCTTCTTCAGCCATCTCACACGTTTTCTCTCTCAGGTCAAGAAGTCAATACGTTCAGGTCATAGGGCGAACATCTTCAGCGCTAAATTCATGCCCCACACCAACGGTCAGGAGATAATCTCGTGCTCCGGAGACGGCATCATCTACTACACACACACCGAGAAGAGTCCCGAGTACAACAGACAGTGTCAGTTCACCTGCCATTATGGGACAGCGTATGAGGTACTGAACAGAACGTTTTCTCAAAACAATGCATGGATTCTTTTTCTCTCTCTCTTCACACTTAATACCGCCTCACTTCCATCATACTCCATTTATTTATTTATTTTTTCTTTCAGATTATGACGGTACCAAATGACCCCTACACGTTTCTGTCGTGTGGGGAGGACGGCACAGTGCGGTGGTTCGATCTTCGCATGAAGACGAGCTGCACGAAAGAAGACTGCAAAGATGTACGGTGACAGCTAGGATCGTTTTTATTCTCTCTTTCAGCGGTTGTTGATTCACTCTGCACGGAAACTTTCCAGGTTTCTGCTCATATTGAGTTCTACTTTTTTTCCTCGTTCTCAATAATTGGAGGAGAAATATGCCCATTTTCCTCCAATGGTCTCAGGGGGATAATGATCAGGAGCTGCTTCAGTGAGAGGTCACTTTACTATGATAGACGGAAGGGGGGGGAAGATAGGGAAAATATTTTTATGTTGCTTTTTTATATTTATTTTCATGGAGTTTAACAGATCTACATTTTTGGCCTTTTACGTTTTTGAACTTTTCTACAAGAATCAGTTTCATTTTTCTTTAGTCCATCACAGAGTTTCCACTGCGTTAGTTATAAATATGCAGAAGTGGAGGTGGATGGAAACACACATACTGAGGGTCTGGATCCGTTCATTTTAAAATAAATATTTGCAGGTTACAGGTGATGATGTTTTCTTCTTTTTAGCACATTGATGTTGACCTTAAGTTCAGAACTTAAGTAATTGTAAGCTTATTAAATCAAAAGAAAAATCTGATTTTACATTTTTTTTTTAAATTATTTATTGAGTTTTTCAATTTTGAGAGGAAACAAACAACAAGAACAATACGGAAAAAAAAAAACCCACCCCAAACTAACAGATGCTGCAAATAATGTATACAAAGACATCAGAAATATCACAGAGAAAAACAAAAATATTAAAAGTATAAAAAGTATTCACACAAAAATAGTAACACTGTAAATTAAGCAGGAAATAAATGAGTAGATTTTTACATTTTAATGGTCCAGAATGTTTGGGGTTTAATGTTTAATTTACATTATAATGAAAATGAATACATGAAAACCCTGCTTTTGTTCTTGATACTCTCAGATTGCAATTTTTTTTGGATGTATTCATTGTCGGTTGTATTTTAATTTGGTCTAAATGCTGCTGACAGTAATCATCTCCCTCATATCTTACATGAGTTGACAGCTTTCTGTCTCTGGAGTAGTTCAGCAAACTGTTTCTTTGGCTACAGGCCAGACTGCATCACCGGGAGCTGAGTGCCTGGGAGTGTGTGTGTGTGTGTGAGTGAGTGAGAGGTCCCTCTAGATTGTGTTGCGTGTTCTCCTCTTTCTCGCCTGAGATCCATACCTGTGACCTTAAATCTGTCAGACTAGTTTTCCTGCTCTCTGTTACCTACACCTTAATTATCCCACAGCCTGTGAGTGTAACACGTGTATGTCCACACCTTGTTTTTTTCTTAATGACTCAGATGAACCTCTCTGTAACACTACTGTAGAAAGAGACTCTTAACTCTGTAAGTGATAACTTTAAAACAGGGCTCATGGGCTTCAGCAGCAGCAGGAAGTCTTTTTTAAACCTGATTGTGTTCGCTCTGATTTCAGGACATCCTGATAAACTGTCGGAGAGCAGCGACCTCAATATCCATCTCTCCCCTGGTGCCATACTATCTGGCTGTGGGCTGCTCGGACAGCTCGGTGCGGATCTATGACAGACGCATGTTGGGCACCAGAGCCACGGTAAACAGTCCTTCGTTGTTTTGATTCTTCACTGTGGGAGTAGTTTGTGGTTGGATGTTTACATATATATGATTTTAAGAATACATTGAATTTATTAAACATCCATCATACACAACTCACACACAAATGTTCTTCAAAAGAGGGGTGCATTATATACTTTTACTTTTATACTTAACGATTCTTCTTTCTGCTCCTTTTTCATTAAAGATTAGAGATTTTATGTTTGTAATTAAGTGTGTTGTTTGGTGGATAAATGAAAAGGAGCATAATTAATACATTCATAAAATAAATCTTAAGGAGTGTCAAGGAAAAAAAGAAAAGACAAATTTAATCATCAAATCAAGTCAAATCAAGTTTATTTGTACAGAACATTTAAAAACAGCTTCATCTGACCAAAGTGCTTTACAGGCAATGCATAAAAGCAAGAAATAAAAAATGTATCTATACATATGCATATACATACATATATATACACATAATACACACACACAAACACATACATACAGATACATACCTAAGCTAAATATATGGGTATATATCAGTGAGTATAGTGTTCATATCTCCTGGAATATGGGAATCGTATATGGTTTAATATTAAAAATATTTTTTCTTTGTAGAAGACATTAAAATATTTTCTGTACACTGTCCTTGAAGACTTCGTATTAAACAGCTGACTTAGTGTATACAGATGGTCAGTGTGAGTAAGGTCTATAAACAAAAGAATTCAATTCAAAGAGCTGAGAAATCTATTCATACAGTTGACCTTCCTGGTCTTAGTGAGTTAGATTTTTTTAAATATATTTTTTCTTTGTAGAAGACATTAAAATATTTTCTGTACACTGTCCTTGAAGACTTCGTATTAAACAGCTGACTTAGTGTATACAGATGGTCAGTGTGAGTAAGGTCTATAAACAAAAGAATTCAATTCAAAGAGCTGAGAAATCTATTCATACAGTTGACCTTCCTGGTCTTAGTGAGTTACATTTTTTTAAATATATTCAAAAGAAGGAAAGAGGAAAATTAAATGACAATAAATAAAGGCGAAAAAGAAAGCAAAGTATTTTTTTTTCTTCTTTTTATTTTTCAAATAAACAACAACAGCACAAACATCGGACAGTCAGAAAGGAAACCTGTCAAATCAGTAAGCCTGCAGCCAGACAATGACAAGAAGAATAAACTGACATGGAAACAAATAAATAACAGACAGAAAATAATAAAATACATTAAAAAGGTTACACAGTTATTTTGTTAGCTGTCATATCTTCAACAAAAGATAAAAATAGCTGCCAAGTGATATAGAATTTCCTGATGCAACCTCTTATAGTATATCTGATTTTCTCTAAGTGGACAAGAAACATGACTTCCCTTATCCATTGGCCATATGTCGGGGGTGCAGAGAAAGCAAAGTATTTTAAAAACATCAACATAATGAAGCCGAGGAATTATAATAACAGATTCCAGGGAAAGCAAGACACACAAGAGCTGAAAGGCGTTCATGTTTTTCCAATTCAGACATTAATAACCCATAAGTTTGGTACAAAAAGTTCTGTTTTGGTTCCTGGGAAAACTTCTTAACGACTAATCAGGGACTCTCTCTCCTCCTCAGGTAACTACATGGGGCGAGGGACGACGGGCATGTGTGTACGGTTCGTTCCCGCTCACCTGTCCAACAAGTCGTGTCGGGTGACTTCTCTTTGCTACAGCGAGGACGGTCAGGAGGTGCTGGTCAGCTACTCCTCCGATTACATCTACCTGTTCGATCCCAAAGACGACCAGGCCCGAGAGCTGAAGGGCCCGTCAGAGGAGAGGAGGGAGGAGGTGAGCGCACGGCACGGGTTCTGATAGGAGCTGCATGTTTGCTGCTTTATTCTTTTTTCTTACTTTTTATCGTCATCATGTCTTAACATACAATACACATAGTTTATATTCAACATAAGGATGACAATATTTTACATTTTAATAAGTGGTGTGGTGTCAAAAAGGGTCGTGTCCCCCCAGTGATGTGGAAATACTAAAAATAACACTTTACAATACAGAAACATGTTTTACAGTTTGTTTAAAGGAGCTTGAAGTCAAACTGAGGTAGCTTGGATCTGTCTCTCATAAATTCATAAAGGTTTTCTTCCCTTTCTCTACGATATTTAACATCTTTAGGAAGACAAACAAACAAATTAGTTATAAAATGAAAGATTAAGATTAGATTAAAAGAAAGAGAAGAGTCAAAGGAAAAAGAAAACAAAAAACATTTATTCTGGACGTGGTTATCCTTTCATTTACTGATTCAACTGCCTCGACCATTCGACACTGTGTGGCATCTTGCTGCCCCGTTTTCTGTCACATTTATTTCTGAGTTTTTATTTATTCTGTGACCCGCCAGGTTTAAACTTTACATCCCGTCATGCTGTTACATGCTGTTTATTTCATTTTCCTTAAAGTCTTTCTATGTGATTGTTCACACTTAAATATATTAGAAATCAAGTATCTCCTCTGAAAATAACTCTGTGAGTCATGACTGTCTACAATGGGTGTAACACCCGAGTCCCACTGTCTGTGATGTTTTCAGAGTTTTCAGAGTCCTATCTTCACTTTGTTTACATCGCCGGGACGGCCGGCTTTCTCTAACTTAGATAATGCAATAAAAATCTGAAACTACAAAGTCACAGCAGTTCTCCTCTCTGATGTCAACTCTCTAGCACGCTAAGCCCCCGATCCTTGTATGCATGCTTCTTAAGTTGAACCCAATTAGCTCCACTTATTAGTGCCGGGCAATTAATCGAGTTCCAATTTAATTAAGATTTTTGGCTTCCCGCTTTAATGAAAACAAGATAATTGAGATTGAACGATTACTGTGCTGCATGTCGCCGTGTTGCAATGCAGCGCACCCCTCTACAGCGTGAGCTCTGCTCCGCCACTCCCGCCAAAACAGCTCTCGCTTTAACTTAAGTAAGAAGCAGAGGAATCTACGGAACGTAGTGTTGGACTGTTTGGCTACTAGTAAAAAAAAATCTGGTTTAGAAAAGATTTTGGCAGGTGATTTGTTTTTGTCCGTGTTTCAAAGTGTTTATTTTTTGCATCACTACTTTTTCAAAGTGTCGAGAATGTTACAGCGTCTAAGTTTAATAATGGTGCAGATTTTTTAGAGTCATTGAGTATAATAATAATAATAATCTTTATTTATAGAGCACTTTTCAAAAACAAGTCACAAAGTGCTTTACAAGGACAGCAAATATAAAAACAGGCAGGTTATAGAATATAAACAAGGCAAGATTAAGGAATAAAAAATCACTTTAAAACATAAAATCCCTTTTTAAAAGAACTGTAAAATACATACAATTCTTTTAAAGGAATTCTAAAAAGTGAAAATAGTAACAATTTAAATTCAACAAAAATCAGAAAGGCTCGCCGGAAAAAGTGTGTCTTAAGAAGAGACTTAAAAGAGATGACTGATTCTGCAGACCTGATCTCCTCGGGCAGGTCGTTCCATATCAGTGCTAAATCTGTTCTGGCTAATGCAGGGCAGCGAGCGGAGCAAATGACCCTGAAGAACAGAGAAGAGGAGGGCAGACACACAGAGAGAAAAGAAGGAAGTGGAACATCTTTAAACTGCTTCTTGTGTTTATGTGTATTTGGGTCATCATCTAGTTTTGAGTATCTGCTAAATGAACAAACAGAACAAACAGTGTGGATCTCAAACTGAGGGTTAAAGGACTGGTCTTCTTCACGTGTGTCTGAATGTGCTGGGTCATGGTGCCAGTACTTCAAAGCCTCGTGTTGAGTTCAGCGGTGTCGAGATGCATCCCCAGCACACATTCCTTTCCAAATACAGCGACCGACGCATGAGGTGTTCCTCTATCGTCCAAAAATAGATCGGCCCTAGGTGCACAGAACGGCCAGAGCAGGGGGCTCCGTTTTCCCCTTCACCTGTAACATCATTTCGTCACCACCACTTGTTTCTCAGTTTTTATTCTACTATCTCCCCCCGCCGTTTTTCACCACCTCCAGCCCTTATCCAGACCTGATGACATTCCCTGAGTAGAGTAGTTGATAGTCCCTTCACTAAGAGCCCCCTTTTTTTTCTATTTTTGGCTCTCAGCCTGTTGCCCTGCAGAGAGAGCCAGGGGACTGGAAAGTGAAGGCACCCTCACCGTGCCGCCAGGGGGGAGGGGGGAGGGGGGGGCACATTTTAAGAGGACACTGACAGAGACGAGCAGTGTTTTGCTTTGGCAGCAGAGCTATTTTTGACCATGCTTTGACTGACAAACTGCTAATCTTTCTGTGTGTGTGTGTGTGTGTGTGTGTGTGTGTGTGTGTGTGTGTGTGTGTGTGTGTGTGTGTGTGTGTGTGTGTGTGTGTGTGTGTGTGTGTGTGTTGTGTGTTGTGTGTGTGTGTGTGTGTGTGTGTGTGTGTGTGTGTGTGTGTGTTTGTGTGTGTGTGTGTGTGTGTGTGGTGTGTGTGTGTGTGTGTGTGTGTGTTTCCACAGCTGAGGCAGCCTCCAGTGAAGCGCCTCCGTCTACGAGGTGACTGGTCCGACACGGGTCCTAGAGCTCGCCCTGAGAGTGAGCGGGAGAGAGATGGTAAGAACAGAGGAGGAGTCGGTACAGAAGCAAACACGTGTGTGTGTGTGTGTGTGTGTGTGTGTGTGTGTATTTTTCTCTTCATTTAATTTGAATCAGATGTGTCAAATTACAGCCACCCCCCCCCCCCCCCCACCAGATTTTAAAGGTTTTTAAACGGGTCAGCAAAGCAGAAAATCCACAGCTTTTCTAGAGAATTCTAATCAGTAATAAAACCACCCTAAATAACGTTATCGTCATCATCAATATCATTAAGTGCATAGTTTATAGAAGAGCTGGGTCTTTAGCTTTTTCTTAAAGGTGCAGAGGGACTCTGCTGATCAAATGGCTTTTGGTACGTCCTTCCACCACTGGGGGGCGACAGAGTAGAAGAGTCTAGTTAGAGACTTAGGGCTCTGTTGGATCAGATGCCTAATTTAAGTCAAAGCTAACAAAGTATCAGCAATCAGTGTTTCCTTATTACACATTTAAAGGTTGTATTTCTTATTTCACGTTAACATAATGGTTAAAACACAGAATAATGCAGCAACTGTTTAAAAAATTAATTTCTCCAGCAACCTTTGGAAAATAAAGAACCAGCCTCCGATGTAGTTCTCTCATCTTGTTCAAAGTTTGAGGATTAAGTGCATTGTGCCTGGTCATGCAGAAATAGTCTTACTGGATCAAATTATCTAAATTGCAAAAAGTTAAGCCTTTCAACACTTAATCCATACTTAGTGAAATTAACTTCCACACTTCATTTCTGAGGCTCACACATTTTCAAATCTTAAAGCACACTTTTTTAATTTCAGGTTAACATGACGTGTGAAGTTATGACTGTTAGTAATCAGTCCGATGCTGTTAGGCAGCAGCTATAAATCTGTGTGCGTTTTCCTCCTTTTGCTCTTGTAGGAGAGCAGAGCCCCAACGTGTCTCTGATGCAGAGGATGTCCGACATGTTGTCTCGGTGGTTCGAGGAGGCGAGTGAAGCTCAGAGCAGCAGAGGGACGCGACCTCAGCCGCGACCCAGAGGTACAACATTAACTGACAATCTGCATCTAATAAACGGAATCACTCTTAATATGTGATTTTTCACATTTAAATGTAGAAATCAAGTATCTCCTCTGAAAATAACTCTCATGACTGTCTACAATGGGTGTAACACCCGAGTCCCACTGTCTGTGATGTTTTCAGAGTTTTCAGAGTCCTATCTTCACTTTGTTTACATCACCCGGACAGCCGGCTGACTCCTCCCCTCGTGTATAAAAGTTGTTTAATTGAGGGACTAGAGAAAAGAAGAATAACATACTGTACTCACTGCTTAACTGTGTTTCTAGATCACGCTCATTTCAGGTAAATTTACATGCAGTGTGAAGATACCAGCATAATAAAGATCGCTAGCATTAGCATGCTAACACAACAATGCAGCGCGAGTTGTTTTGGTTTCATGCTGGAGCTCAAGGGCGACATCTGCTGGATCAAAAAATATAAGCATATAAAGCCTTTAAATCTGCTCTTGAACTCAAAGTCATAAGATTTGCTTTCTCTTTGCTGACTCTGTTTGCACTCAGATATATTGTTGCATGCACAGATTGCAATAAGCATCTAATCAGCATGTTCATTTCTCAAACTGAAAGACTACACTGTTGAAGAAGTGTGATGGATGCTGTCATATATTAAATGTCCCTCAGCCTGAAGATTTTCTGTGAAAGTTAAACATGCAGTTTTTTCATCACAGGCTGCTGGAAAGTTTTCTTAATTAATGCTTCACATAAAAATAACGTTTTACAAAAGGAAAAAACCTTGAAATCTTTTGACCATTAAAACCTTTCTGATCATTTTGCATTACTTGTTGACTTTCCTCGACATCGTTAATCTCCTTTTTTATTTTCTTGTTTTAGGAACAGCTGCTCGTCTGGAGGGGCCGCCGAGTACTCCAGCTGCCCGAGGTGCAGGTGACTCCACCCAGGAGTCCAGCGACCTTGAGAGGCCCGGGGGGTCGGACGCACCCGGGGAGCCTCCAGTTCCTGTCAGTGCAGCCACCGCCATGCCTAAATCCACGTCCTCTTCCTCCTCAGGGTCATCATCAACTGTTACAGCTCCTCCTCCTTCCAGCTCCTCATCGGTGGAGAGTTCAGCCCCTTCCTCCTCCCCCGTCACCTCCTCGCCTGACTCAGAGCAGAGGAGTCAGGCCAACGTCACTGGGACCCCGACGCCAACGCCCACACCCACACCCACCCCAACCTCAACCTCAGAACCCACTCTTTCAGGTAACTCAGACAGAAGTGAGCGTTATTTGTTTTTGATTTAGAAAGTCTCAGAAATTCACATTTTGCTCCCCAGTGCAGCAAGTAGGTATCAAATCAGTATTTCCTGTGTGTGTGTTTGTTTGTTTATTTGTTTGTTTGTTTGTTGGAGCCACTCCACTCAAGCAGCAGCCTCACTTCCCTCTCTTCTCCTTCAGCATCCTGTCATCCTTCCTCCTCCTCCTCTCCCCCTCAGTCTTCTTCTAATCATGCATCACTCTTCCTCTCCTACTCTTCCCCTCTGTTAGAGTACAGTTCTCAACGGCTGCCCATAAGTTTAGTGTGTAGGCGTTTGCAGAGATTACTCCGGCTGGCCGACCCACCGGGACGGGGTCAGCGGGCGGCCCCTTCTTCTTCTTCTTCCTCCTCCTCTTCCTCTGCAGCCCCTGAGAGACAATCACAAAGAGCCGCTGAACCTCCTGCTGCTGCTGAGACGCAACCCCCTACAGGTTACCCTCACCCCCCCCTCCTCCATACGGGCTGTTTTGCCTGGACCCCCCTTTCCCTCCCCCTGCCATGTTCCCCCAGAAAGACCAGATCTAGAACTGACCTCTAATCCCTACACTGATCCTCTTTCCATTCCCCCCAATAATGCACCTTGATGTTTGTTAACCTCTGTAGCTGTCACTGCGTCGCCTCTCATCCTCTTTAATGACTCACTAACACTCTCACCTGTTGCTTCAGTTTTCACCTGTTGGAGTGGCACCAGCCAGTTTGAAGCTCTGCGTTGGCATCTTCATGGCTCATGTGGTTGTTCATTCATGTTTGATCAAACACACACACACACACACACACACACACACACACACACACACACACACACACACACACACACTGATCAGACGACTTAACAGGTGACCTTAATGCTGGACATGATTCACTTTGGTTGGATCTCAAGAATAAAACGAGAGCGCCGATGGCATAGCGGTTATGTCGCACACACATGTACAGAGGCTATAGTCCTTGTCGCAGCAGCTGTGGGTTTAAATCCAGCCTCGGCCCTTTGCTGCAAGTCATCCCCCCACTCTCTCCTCTGAACATTTCCTGTATCTCTTTAGCTGTCCTTTCTAAATAAAGGCAAAAAAGGCCCAAAAAACAAGTCAAAAATAAATAAAACAATACCTAAAGCCTTCAAAAAATAAGATAAATAATTTAGAATAACTGACTATATTTTATTTTATGTTAACTGTTTATGTCCTTAGTTCACACATAACATGACCTTTACAGAATGAACCACAATACTCACACAGTGGTCGACAGCCATTGTGAAAAAAGCAAAAAAAACTGACCTATGGTGAGGAATCCAACTTGTTGCTTTTTCAAAGACATTCTGTCATTAAAGCCTTAATATGTGATGTATTTGAGATTGAGGGATTTTTACATTATTTGATATAAACTTGTGCATTAATTACATTTCTCATGAAGGCCAGAATAAGTCACCTGTAGCCTTTTGGCCAGAGAGTAATTTAAATAGCAGGAAAACCTCAATGTGAATGAAAGCACCAAGGATATTTTCAAAATAAAAGCAGAATAAATGCAGAAAACAAACAGAGCTTTGACCACATAGAGATAAAAATCAGCTCTTGAATCGGCTCTTATGACACACAGAATCGATTCCATGACAAGATATAATAAACATGAAGGGATGACAGACTGTAAGAGTTTTCAAAGTGAACCAGGTGTTTAATTTTCCTGATTTTAATAATCATCACAGAGTAAATTCAGCACCTTTTCTAATGTCTGAGGGTTCTCAAGTATGATAAGATATTTTACATGAGGACTTTCATGCTAAACTTTTTCATTCATCTATACTGTTTGGATTCGATTTTTTTAAAGTGTCCAATGTTACTGTGCTTATGCGTATTGCACTTTTGCAGCAGTATTTTATTCTGAAATTTCAAAACGTGTAGTTTGTTTGCAGTTAAGAGGAACACAATGGATTAAAGTTCAAACATGTTAATAACCAGAAAACTGTCCATCACATTCAAGTAGCACTGTGATGTCTGACAGGCGTTGATGTTGAACCCAGGCTGCTCTGAGGTCTACTTTTTATCACAGATATCTTTAAATCTAAGAAAATGGTGAAATGGAAAGAAGAGTTGATTGCTTTGGTGTTTTAAAGAGGGAATCCAAACAAACATGTAGGGTCCTAAAATTAGCTTGTAAGTTCTATTGACATTTAAAGAAGTCAGACATTTCTAAGCAGAATGTGTGAATGTGTCATGTTCATGTTCCATTCAGACGCACTAATCTCTGATACTCATGAAGCTGCACATGCAGAATGAGAACTGATCCTTGTGTTATCAGATGCAGCTTTGTCTCCTCTTGCTTGGCCTGGATCATGTTTTTCTTTTTTAATAACTTTTAACTCCTGTGCATCTGTACTGTGTGAGTCCTCGGGTTTGACCTTTGTGTCCGATGTTTAGTCAGGTCTCATTTGTGTTCCAGATTCTCCCTCGTCTGTGGTAAACAAACAGCTGGGATCCATGACTCTTGATGAACAGCAGGGTGCGTTCTCCCCCCCCCACCCCCCAAACACCCCCACCCTGCTTCTAGCTGTGTCTTCTTCATCCTCCCTCATAAACCAAATCAGTTCTCTTTGGGATGCACTGATGTGACTTTTTCAGTCCTGATGTCAGAACCCTGGCTTTGGGAGTTTGATAAAAACAAGGACAAATTCAACACCGCTGTTTAGTTTCTGAAACATCTATGCCTCACTGTGTCAACCAGAAAGATTTATCTTAAGGCAACAAGCAGGCTTGACTTGTAAAATGTGTTTTTCCAATTTTTTTGCACATTTAAGAAGTAGCTGTACAGCTAAAGGTGTAGCGAGAAAGATTCCCCTCCTTACAACTGACAGCTAAGCTGCATCCTTCATCCTTCCATTAGAAGGTAAAAAATAGAATCAAATGATTGAATCAAATGATTGATCCAATGACTCGAGTAAGAAACACACCTTAATCTGATGTCTGTATCAGATCGGTGCATCCCTGCTTTGTCTCATAGTTCCCCACACTTTGTCTTTAATTTCCTTCTTCTTTTTTACTTCCCTCTGTTCCACTCTGAACTCCAATCCTCTGTCTTTATCAGATAAAGATGGCAAGTCTGCCTCACCTTTGTAGCAATATTCAGTAAGAACCAATATGATCACCTGGTAAAGGCTGTTATAGTCTGACATTCGTTTTATTGGAAACTAGGGGAGCAAATACCTGATCATTACTACGGAGACACATAAAGATAGCAATTATGCAAAAAACATTTAGAAATAGTAATATTCTGGTAACAGTTAAAGTGCTTCTCGTTTACAGTGCAATCATTTTTTTATTGATGCTTGAGTGTTACATCCCACCTCAGGGGTATGACGATCCATCGGGGGCTTTCACCGTTGTGTTTTATGTCTCACCATGTGTGTGTGTCTTGTTGCTGTGGCAAGTGATTGTCCCCCCCCCCCTCCACCACCAATCTGCTCTTTTAATGTCCAGTGCACGTTCCCATTACTGCTGGGTGTTTTTTTAACGGTGAAATAATGCAACAGAAGTTTGCATGTTTCCTGCGTGCTTTTACATCCACCAAAAACATGCTGTGAGCAAAAAGTGGAAAAAATACTCTTAGCTAAAACTTTTGATGAGAGTTATTTGGGTGAAGCGAAACAGAAAATGACAACACTGGAAACTTCTCCTGTGTGTCCTCTCTCTCCTATCAGGAGCAGCAGAAGCTGCAGGTCCGTCCACTGAGCGGCCCGTTCCTGCACCTGTTAGCAGCAGCGCTCCAACCACCTCTACAACGTCCTCTTCCATCTCCAGCATGCCCGGCACCAGTCGACCCAGTGCAGCAGAGCCAGTCCTCAGCCTGCACTACAGCTCAGAGGGAACCACGACCAGCACCATCAAGCTGGACTTCACTGATGAGTGGTGAGTCATCGATAGAGCATTCAGTTATTGTGTTGGTTTTCAGATTGAAGTTATTTATTTTGGACATCAGATCCATTCTACCAGTTTATAAAGAATCCAAAATGACTGCTCAGTCTTTTCACTTTATACAGTCGCTCTTTATTCCAGAAGTAGGTGATATCAACGCTTCGACCAGTATCCAGATTATGATATTCAAAATGTAAATAGGCCATTCAGTAAACAGAAGCAAATGTCTAAAAAACAAATTCACATACACAATAAATTACATACATACTTTGTTAATCCCCATGCCATGAGGAAATTGTGGTTTACACTCTGTTAATGAGAGAAATGCTTGTCACACATCGGCTCGGTTTTCAGTTATATATTTTTTGGGTTTCTTGGCAGTTGGCAAAACAATTGTAAAAACAATTTAAACATTGTGGGCAAACATTTCATCACTCAGTCACTGTTTTATTTTTCCTCAACAGGAGCAGCAGCACATCCAGCTCTCTGGGCAGCGGAGGACCTAAGACATCTGAGACTGTGACTGTGCCGAGCACGGTGAGCAGAGGGACTGTGTCTACAGGGAGTTCACTGTCGGAGCAAGGTGAGTCCTGCAGCAGAATAGAAAGTATCAGAAGTTATAAAAATAAAGTTTTACCCCTGTTTCCCTTCAGACAGGTTGCATCACAAATGGGTGTAGTCTGTTGTGGTCACCTGTAGTCATTAATGTGTAACTGACAGAAGTACAAGTATACACTTTAGTATGCAACATTTTAATATCCAAGTGCACACTGTCAACAGCACATGTGCATATCTGCACACTTTCAAGTTCACATCATCAAGTGCAGATTTTCAAGCGTATAAGTGAACACTTCAAAGTGTACAACCTAAAACTCACACTTTGCGCAGCCTGAGACCTCAGGCAGGAACCTCCTAACTGTTCACGCCTCAAACTTGAAAACTAAAAGAGATCAAGCATTTGTATCTCGGGCTCGTCGGCTGTGGAACGACCTGCCTGAGGATCTCAGACGAGCTACATCAGTATCTTCTTTTAAAAACACATTTTTATCATAAGGCCTTCTTATAATCCTTGTTTCTGACATCAGACAGATGTTTTTATTTGTTTTACTGTTAACTTTAGCCAATCTTTGTCTCAGTTGTTTCTCTTTTCTCTGTTCATTGGATGATTGCTGCACTGTTGTTTTATTTTTCATGCTTTTTTAATAGGATTTTATTGTTGTGTATTTGACTGTATTTGTTGGTTTTGAGAAGTGCTTTATAAATAAACTTTATTATTATTATTATTATTTTAAGATAAGATACATTTACAGTGTTACAGCAGCAAAGAGCAAAGATTGCAAACAAAAAGTGAACACAGTACACAATTTAAATTAAAAAAGAAAAACTAAGAATGTTCAAAAGAATAGATAGATACCACAATATAGATTTAAAAAAAAAGGAAAGGAATACATTTATAGGCACACTTCCAAGTGTACATTTTAAGCTGCTTTTGTGCTTTCTTAGAAGTGCACAACTTAAACTTCTGAAGTGTGATTTGATTTTCCAAGGCATTTGTGCAAACTTTTAAGTGCACAGTGTTTCTGATAGATACTTTATTTAGTAAATTAAAGACATGCAAAAAGTACACATCAACTGCCGGCCTGCAACCAAAATAGATATAACATTTGTTCTGCATGCACTAATATATTATAATTTTGTATTCCTCAGCAGGCTCAGAGTTGACCGGGCAGCAGCAGAGTGGGCCGGCTGCCTCCACAGACCCGCCCTGTGACGCTTCCTGCTCCAGTCCTCACAGCAACTCATCAGCTCAGGCCCCAGCAGAGAGGGCCCCTGAGGGCGGCACCACGGTGTCTTCATCACTCGAGCGGGGCCAGTCGGAGGCTGCGGAGGACACAACGGGAGGCTGCAGAAGAGCAGAGCCGACGGCAGCAGAGGAGGGGGGGGGGGGGAGGAGGGCCAGAGCCAACCTGCGAGAGGTAACCCGGACTCTGACGACAGCGACGACGATCCCATTCTCATCCCGTCAACCCGGTTCAGAGGACAGGGACAGAGGTAGGCTACATGATGATTCCTAAATAAAAACATTATTCTTTTGTGTCATTACTTTGAAAGGGCGGGTGCTGGGATGTTTTTTGTTCTTGTGATGACTGTTTCACTACAAATAAAGATTTAATTCCAGAGGATCTGCAGTAGGAGATAGGATGATCAGGTAATGTCTCTTTTGCACTAACCACTTGAAGCACCTGTCAGGTGTGTGATGTGGAGATGAGCAACAGCACATCATGGTGTGTGTGTGTAGTATGAAAATAACAAGGTGTGGTCTTGGCTCACTCACAGAAAAACTAATACACACACGGCTAACCTGTAGAGTTCTGAGTGTTTCATGCATGTGAGTACTGACTCCACGCGCAGTTTGAGACCGAGCATTAAAGCAGCATTTTGAAAACCTTGTTTGGAAAGGAGGAAAAAGAGAATGAAGAAGTGTGTGCATGACATCCTGATTTAAAATGAGATGAGCAAATATGATTTCTTAAATTCCAGTTTTTGATTAGACACACAAAAACCCTTAATTACCTTAAGTTACATTTTGTAACACGTCTGTCCATGCCATTTATGGACGAGACTACAAATTAAAATTTTAAGACCTTTATTTTCAGTTGTAATGTTTTGCCTTGAAAAGTGGCTGCTCTCTAGTTTGTTATTGGTTGAATTGTTGATACCAGCATTCATTGTATTCAACATTTGAAGCATGAGGTCATAGAGCATCATGACATCATGCCTTTGTGTCTCTTTGTGTTTTTTGAAGAGCCTCTTAATCACATGTACTGATTTCCTTTTCTTATCACAGACGCTCAGCAGCCGCTCGAATCCAGGAGCTGTTCCGGAGGAGGAAAGAGAGGAGGGAGATGGAGGAGAGTGAGACGCAGAATATCAGGAGACCCTCGGTCAAAATGGTCTACAAAGGCCATCGCAACTCAAGGACAATGGTACATCTGGCGTTATTTCAAAATGCATTACTTCAGGGACCTCGGGAAAGAAGCGACAGGGAGGGTTTGTTTGACTTTGAAGAAATGTGGTTGTTTTGTTTCCTTAAAGAAGTCAGGATGGATTCCACTGACATGGTGAAGTTCACAAATTCACTTTCTGTATTTTGAAATTGCACACAGAGCACTTTCTGGTGCAATGACACCCTGAAGTTTTGTTATCACTGTAAACAACATGAACGATTTGAATCCGACTCTCTGGTTGGTTGGTTTAATAACTCACTTCTGTTTGCAAATGACTTAAACTGTAAACTTTCTTCATGATGCAAGCAACCTGCACCAGATGCACCTAGCTAAGCTAACTTAGAGCTAGCTATCTGGTTAACCTTAGCTTGCTTAGATAGATCGATAGGAACTTTATTAATCCCTCAGGAAATTCAGATTCCAGCAGCAGGTAACACCAAAGGATAGAACAGCACACAGATACAAAGAATAAAATAAAAACACAAGTTCTATACAAATACTATACTGTACACAGGTGTCTAAATAAAATATAGCGGTACAGATTTATAATAAAATAACAGCAGCAATAAGAAAAAGGTAGCAGCAGTTGTGTTGTTTTGTATTTGTCCTTTGTGTTTATAAATAGATAATTAACAATAAATAATGAATAATACGAGCTGTTAAAATACTCACATGGAGCATATTTGAGTTGGTCAGCTTGCCAAATAACCTCACCAGCAAACATAATCAGTGACACTTCAGTTTAGATCAAATAGTGAAGGTTTGAGTAAACAGTGGATGATGATGATACAAAGAAAAGGTGAATCATTTGAAAACTCTCTGAAATGTGAGATTAAGAGAAATCTTGTTGGTCTCCTAAATTAATGGAAGTATTTGTTTGGTGATCGATGCAACATTTCATTTCATCGTGTTTTTCCCCGCTGTGCAGATAAAGGAGTCTTGTTTTTGGGGCAACAACTTTGTGATGAGCGGCTCAGACTGTGGTCACATCTTCATCTGGGACAGACACACGGCCGAGCATCTCATGCTGCTGGAAGCGGACAACCACGTAGTGAACTGCCTGCAGCCGCACCCCTTTGACCCCAGTGAGTCCCCCCCCCGTCCCCCCCGTCCCCCCCCCGCTTCACTCTACAGCTCAGACGATTCCCTTCCTCCAAGACGATGATGCTTCCTTGTTTATTAAAATGCTTTTTGTCTTTTCTCTGTTTCAGTTCTAGCTTCTTCAGGGATAGACTACGACATAAAGATTTGGTCGCCACTTGAACAGTCGCCATCTTTCAACAGAGTCCTCGCTAATGAGGTATGAGGTTAACTGTGTCTTTATTTTAAAAAAATGTTCTCATTGAGATACAGGGTTACTGTTTACGGTTCAAGCGCGTCCTGGACAAGACAGCAGCAAAGGTTTCACACAGAGAACAAAGACAGACAACAGTCAACAAATCAGAAGCGTTAAGCAGAGAAACGTGCACACAGTCGTCAAATGATTCTTTTCAAATCTTCCGAGCTAACTTAGTGCTCTGGTTTAAGGTGACCCTGCAACTCAGACCAACATGATGCAGCAAACACACTAAAAGCTCTTTGAGCAGAGACCGAGCGAGTTCAGAGGAATGTCATGAGCGATGAGTCCTTGAGATGGAAGGCTTCAGCTGCTTCCAGCTTTAGGAATCAGCAGAGAACAGAGGGCTTGTGTAAATCAGTGTACTTCTTCTTGTGATGAAAGATACAACAGGAAACTCAAAGTACTTTTTCCATTCTCTGATTCTCCAAAACAAAAAACGTCAACCAGAAGTTACATTTTTAGACACTTCAAATCCATTATTACCCCTTTAGCTTTTCTGGAGATTATTTCCTTTTTAATATAGATGGCAGTTCATGTAGTACGCCCTTAAAAATACAAATATGTACCAATCATGGGGTTACTAAGGTGGCCGGAACAAAATAACTGGAAACCAAAACAGGACATTGGAAAGCAGCAAAAAACCCAAATAACTGATTATTTTTTTTTTTTTTTTTATTTAACCAGCTTGGTCCCATTGAGATTAAAAACCTTCTTTTTCAAGGGAGACCGAGCCGAGACAGGCAGCAGCAAAAACACAAAGTTACAGACGGAAACACAAAGAGAGACACAGTACAGTTTACAAAACACAACATTTAGGATTAAAAATAGAACCATCTATGAGTCATATCTGGGAATCAGTTGACAGGCAGCAGCAAAAACACAAAGTTACAGACGGAAACACAAAGAGAGACACAGTACAGTTTACAAAACACAACATTTAGGATTAAAAATAGAACCATCTATGAGTCATATCTGGGAATCAGTTGTTCAAACAGCCGAGATAAAACATCGACATGCTATAGAATCTGCTTCCATGTCTTTCATTTTAGATTTAAAAATATTTAAGGACACCAGCTCCTTGAGCTTTAAGTCATTCTGCAACAGATTCCAGGCTGAGGGTGCAGAGTACCCAGAAGCCCTTTTCCCAATTTCTGTCGGAGCGTTTTGGACAGAGAGCATAAAGAGTCCTGAGAACACAAAGAATACTGTCCCTACTTCTCTGCATGATAAAAACACAATTAATGAAGAAGTTGTAGATTTACTGGATGCAGTGTTGATTAAACCCTCACATGGGCTCCACTTTCATATCGACAGGATCATCTTTTACTCTCCGAGAGAAACAAAGCCATTTTTTTTAGACTTTTTCTTTGATATTTTATCAAACTATCAATTCTTAAGGCCTTCACATATATGTGATCATTAAGAATATGAATAAGTGGATATTATGACATTGATAGAATCCAAACAAAGGACTCCTCTGGTATAAAAACAACAATACATCCTCACTCTTCCTCACAGATGATCCTTTCCTCCCTGTCTTCCTGGTTTTTGTCAGACTCAGCTTCCTTCACTTTGACTCACGTTTTCTCTTCTTCTCCCGTCTTCCTCTTTTCTGTCAAGGTAATAACTCGCAACGAGCTGATGCTCGAGGAAACCAGGAACACAATCACAGTCCCGGCCTCTTTCATGCTCAGAATGTTGGCCTCCCTCAATCACATCCGATCAGGTAACTGCAGGTTGAATCTGGACTCTGTAGAATTGACTGTTTGAATACATATAAAATCACACTTTTTTTTTTTTGTTTCTTGCAGATCAAATCGAAGGAGATCGCTCTGAAGGATCAGGCCAGGAAAACGAGGACTAGCAGTAGCCTCTTGGCCTTTTATTCTAAAGAAGACTATTTCTTTTTTCGCTGTATAGCACTTGGAAGAAAAAACTGAGATTTGTACAAGTATAGTGTAGAATACTTCCTTTTGAAAAATTAGTGTAATTTCTAGCCCCCCCAGTGTTTTTTTTAAGACTTTCTTACTGATGTTTCTGTATGAGGTTAAACTACACCTGTGTGAATGCAAAAAGGCAAGGGTGTCAGTATATATATATATATTAAGTGTGACAATAATGGCGGCTGGTGTGCAAGAATGTTAAGTGCAATATTATTTTGTTAAGAGAGAGTGAGCTTTGATCAGTGTTAACGTGTGACTTTTATGAATTTGTAGCACAAAGCTAAGAGATGTTGATACGCTGCTCCGGCAGTTTCCGCATGTAAACAAGGACTGTAAGTAAAAACATGCTTTGAAAATGTTTAATTTTATTGTCAAGGAAACAAAAACAGGATGACGCCTTGGCTCTTCTTCTCCTCAAAGGAACGTGTCAATAAATTTTAGTCTTCACAGATGATTTGGAAAGTACTAAATAAACCACGGCGTCTCACAGATGTCTGCACTAGATATAGATTGAAAAGACTGTGCAGCAAACAAACAATCCGTACTTTACTCTCTGATCCTCGACAGACTTTAGTCTTACCAGTAGAGACGGACTGGAACATCGCAAGAAACAGGAAGCACCTGTTCAGAGATGCAGGTCAACATGAATGCCTCTCTGTGATTAGCTTCACTTTTTAGTTTGACACTATTTTAAACTTGAGAGATTATTGTATCTGATGTGCAATATGAACCAACTGTTTACATAACTTTGGTGAAGCAGAGGTCAAAAGCAGAGATTTGAGAGAGAGAGAGAGCACAAAAGGGAATAAGAGGGTTGTCTAAGGGGGAAGGTTTTCAAATTCAGTGTAATGGCAGATTTCTGAATAGTTGTATTTATTTTTGAAGGTTTTTGAAGGTTCACCATTTTTTATGTCTGTCTCAAAACAATCGTCAGGTTCAAACATGAACATCCTGCTGTAAGAAACATGAACTGATCCTTCAAATATTTCACTCTGATCTATTTTTTTTTAAACTCCATGATATATTCTGCCTTTTCAAAAGCTGGTGCCTACATTACCCACAATGCTGTATGATAATTAAGTTAATATACTCATGTAAACAGACTATGACGGGTAAAGAAAGCTGGAGTTCCTTTTATAAGAGCCTTCATTTTTAAACCGTGTATAACTACTTTCCTTTACATTGGTTACCATGGTAACAGGAGTATTTAAGTACTTAAAGGAGCAGTAACTGTTAAATGCTGCTGGTCTGCTCGGGTAATGTGTGGTATGGATGGTTGTTGTGAGGAGAATAACATCGTTAAAACACCAACATGAGGAAAATCAACTGGTTCACAAATGTTTATGTAAAAAGTTTTAATAGAAGAATCTTGATACAAAACTCGAAGGAAAATGTTGGTATTAATACTTTATAGAGGAAATCAAAAGATGACATCACTTCTCAGGTGTATAGTAGTACCTTTTTAAACATAATATGGAAGATTCGAGGTAAGACTGAAGCACAAGAACTGTGCTTTACTCATGACAAATGTCCACTGAGAGTTCATTTGATATTATTGATCAGGAGTGGTGGAGTGTTAAAACGTGAGGTAAACAACATGTACCATTCATTTACTTCGACACAGTGTAGTGGATACACACAGATCATGTTCTCCAATTTGACCACAGGTTTGTTTTTTTGGTGTGAATTGAGTTTCAGCTTTGTGTTCCTACACTTGGTAAAGCATTACTGGCATCTAGTGCATAACAGCATGAAATTTGGACCCTTGATAATGTATTTTCATAAATACAACAATGTGAGAACACTGATAATAGTTCATCAGACCTTCATTTAACCCCGTTTGATTGTGACTACATGTCTGTCGCCTTTGTCAGTATGCACAAACACTAACCTAGCGGTAATAGTTCTGACATACAGTGAGAGTGGTTTATATGAGAACAAGTTCATGTTCAAGTCAACTGCTGCAGGAGATCATCATAAGATAAGAACACACCTGTGGTACCATCAGGTGTCGACACAACACGGAACAAAAATCACTCTGCAAGTACCACAAGTACTGTCCAACAGGTTCAGGTCAACATGAGACAAACTACCTTTGTATTCATTTTGAAATGTGTTCATGATGAATATGCAATTTCCAATACATATTAATTCCTATGTAGGTTCATGACATGATTTGGGAGGTTACCCAGAATGCAATTGGATGATAAACTAGCTTTTTTCCTCTCAGAGCAGTTTTTCTGGATGATGATAAAAGACTGCAGTTCTTTGATCCTGCACAGCCCTGATGAGGCACATGTTAATGCATACTCAGGAAATATCATTATATATAGTAATGAACGAACAACAATCAGATCATTTAGGATACAGTAGTTAAGGCTTTTCTATTTGATTACATGAATCCATCAAAAGACACTCGACGGTGACACTTGGTCCAACATAGTGGAATGAATAATGTGCCGCTTCCTGTTTCTAAACTATTTCAAGTATGGAGTACACATGAATGGAAAAAAAATAAGGCTTCATTGACTTGCACCAAGATGCGCAGCTCTCTGATTGGTCGCATGGAGTCATGTTTAGGGTGTGAACCCCCCCCCCACAGCTCAATAATAAACTGAGTACAGTTCAGAGCAGCTGTGTGGTCAGGCTGGTTTTTCCTCCACGTCCTGCAGCTCTTCTTCATCATCTCTGTCGTCTTTAACGATACCTTCATCGATGCTCTCCAGCCTCAGTCTCTGACCGTCCAGGTATCTCGGTCTAGGCGTTGCCCTCGTTGTAAATAGTCCCAGCGGCAAAGTCAGACCCTCCCCAAACATGGTGAGCTTGGCGTCACTCTCGATGGCCTTGGCCAGACAGGACGCGAAGGTGTCGAGAGATTTGTGCACCTCTGCTTGGACTTGAACACAAGACGTGTTGATGTTTTCAGCTGAGGAGGAAAGTCAGATACGTTGATCATTTTGACGTCTGTTGGACACATTTTATTGAAAAACAAAACAACAACTTTAATTTAGATTCTTCAACCCTCTTTTCTTTGGTGGGAGGTTGAGTGTGGGATGGGATACCTTTGGAGTGCTCCACCTGGTCTTCAAAGGTGACTGAGCTCCTCCTCTTCACAGTCAGATGCCCGCTGAGCTGTGTGTGAGAGCAGCCGTCTGTGGAGAAGTTATCCAGCAGCATCACGTCTGTGCCTGAATGAGAAACGTTTAAAAATGGACAAAAAAAATACGTTTAAATAAAAGAAAGTTACATGAAACTAAAAAATGTCAAAGCAGGAACCGTCTTAACAAATTGACAACACGAGTTCAGGGTTGGCAAAGCACATGACACTACTTGCCCTTCCTGTGTCATCCTGAACTGAAAACATGAGCTGTGATTCAGGAATGCGGGGCGGACTGTAACAAAGCGGTAAGAGAGTGATGCAACAGAGTCAATAAAGACAGTCCGTCAGCCTTTCAAACTCTGTGTTTACACGTGTCATGGATTACTTCATCTCTCTTTAATGTTTAATCTTAGATCAACAATCAAGTTTAAAAATAAGGAAATCACTTCTGCTGAAGTTCTACAATTCACTGAGCAGACTCTTTTCTCCAAAGCGACGTACATCAGAGAGTAAGAACAACACAAGCAAGGATCTAGAAAAAAGGGAACAATGTCAGTAAGAGCAAACGATCAGCTTTGAGTCTGATTGGACACACAGGCGCTGACAGGAAGTGACCAGAGGCAAAGCACAACATTGAGGGCAGTTCTTGAGAGCTCTAATCAGTATAGAAACCATCTTATAAGTCGTCGTTATCAAACAAAAACCATCGTCATTACCATCATCATCATCAATAATATGGAGACCATCATCATTAAGTTAGTAGGTATTCATGAAGAGCTGGGTCTTTAGCTTTTTCTTAAAGGTGCAGAGGGACTCTGCAGATCACATGGAGTTTGGGAGTAATTTCCAAGAAGATGAATTGATGCTTAAATGATCAGTCAATTATCAGAGAAATAATTATCCAAAATGTGAACAACAAGAAACTGTAAAAACAATGCAGCTATTACAGCTTCTCAAAGTAATAATCTGTAATTGTTTCATTTAAATATCATTATACACAGATAGCTTTCTCATTTTAAACAGTTGGTTGACAATACAATAAATGCAAAATGTCACTTTGGGCTGAGGGTCATTTGTAATGACATTTTTAACCACTTTTACTCAAATTTGTAACATTAAAAAATGCATTGTTGTAATTGGTGACCCATTTTTGACCACTAACTATGATTGTATCTTCAGGAAAACAATGTACTAATTTGATGAGTATATAAATATAGAATAAGTAAACAATATAGATTTGGGACACTTAAGAAAGCCTGTCACGGTCGTTCTTGTGTGTGAACACTTACACGAGTCCTGAGTGAAACTGAAGCCTGTGTCTCCCGTGCTGCTTCCTGGGGCGAGCAGGTGACCTCCACCAGCCAGCATGGCCGTGAGGTGTGGGGACATACCCAGGTCTGTAAGAACACAAGGAAGCTCTCATCATACAAAAACAAACACAATGTGAACACACAGACATACCGGTAGATATAACTGAGTTATTCTGTGTACTGTAAACCAACATTGTTTACAGTAAATAGAAACAGCCTGTATATTAAGGCAGGCCATTTAAACATTTAGTGTAAAGCAAACACTCCTATCACTTGTATCTATGTAGATATCCATAAAAGCATTTATACAAGCCAAAGCTTGTCATTCATAACATTCATACAATACACAGCGGCTACTTCACATATCAACGTCCTTCTTCCTAAGAGAAGTGACGCCATTTTTACTATTCATGTGTATTGTGCTTTTAATTTCAGATATCCACCACGTCACTCTTCCTGTCCAGGATATATTAATAAGATATCCGCAGTTGAGTTCCTTCTAGGGAAAACTCTTTTATTTTTATTTTTGTGCCTTTAATGTAGAGCTAGGACAGTGGATAGAGTCTGAAATCAGGGAGAGAGAGAGAGAGAGGGGAATGACATGCAGAAATGGAGCCGCAGGCCGGATTTGAACCCGGGCCACCCGCTTTGAGGACCCCAGCCTCCATACACGGGGCGCACGCACTAACCACTGTGCCACTGCGCCACCAGCACCCCACTAGTTACAATTTGAATAAGATTATTCAATACAACATCATGAGTATCTCAGATCATTCATCATATCTGAAATCAAAATGATAAGTAGAGCCACCTGCTGCGCTCTCACCTGTGATTCTGTTGGAGATGCTGAAGAGGCGGGACGTCCTTTGCCGTGTGGCGAATGACTCTCTGTAGTAGCGATCTCCGAAACACATCCCCAGCAGCTCCTTCCTCACCGTTTTATTCCAAAGGCCGTAGATGAGCGGGTGGCACACCGCGCTGCAGAAAGACAGCCACGCCACCAGAGTCTCCACGCCCGGAGACACGCTCCCTTGTCCCCACAGAGCCTCGGTGCACACCACCCCGACGTACGGCCCCCAGGTGACGAGGAAGGTGCCGATCACCACTAAGATGGTGACGAAGGCCTTGCACTGACTCCCAGCGTACACGAGGCTCCGTCGGCTTCCATTAGAGGAGGTCGAGGTGCTCGAGTTCTTGCGTCCGTTCCTCTGAGATCCGGCAGAGTCGTCCCGGGCGTCGACAACCGTCCCACAGTGCACCTTCCTGGCCTTCATGCGAGCTACTCGGAAAATGACTCCATAACAGGCCAGCATTATGACGAATGGGGGAAGGGTGCACCAGGTGACCCAGAAGGCCGTGTAGCCTGGCTCCCTGTGCCAAGATGCCACACAGGTCCATTTGAAGCAGTCGAACTCGAAAGAGGACCAGCCAAACAAAGGGGGCAGGCAGCCCACCAGAGAGTGTAACCACACGTAGGCGATGACAACGACTGCCCGGTTTCCCGTGATCTTCATGGGGTAGATCATCGGATAAAGCACTGCGTAGTACCTGACGGGACAAAAGAGAAAAGGCTGTGAGGAAATCTGCAGATCAGAAACTCAACAAAGCTCCCGAGGCAGACTTCAGGTCCGAGTTACACAGAGACGGCTCAGATTTGTGCGAGCGATACAGAAGCTAAAGGTTGCACTTTATCCCCCCCCCAAAAAAAACAATGCTGGGAAAGGGTTTTCTGAAAAACTGCAAACTGAGCAGAAAAGGAGAGCCTTGGCTGGAGAACAAAAAAAGTGCCCTGTAATGAAAAGTCCCAGAAGGTGCTGAGGGTAATTAGAAGAGCGACGACAACAGAGAGGACTGTATGCTACAGAGCTCCTTAACAGCAGAGCTTAGCCGCTGCAATGACACAACTTTGTGATCCTCGACAAAAACCAGACAGGTGCATCCTCTTTTAGTTTTAGCTCACCACACAACACCCATAACGCACTTTAAAGGCTTTATATGATTTTTGATCCAGCAGATGTCGCCCTTGAGCACCAGCATGAAACCAAAACAACTGCGCTGCATTGTTGTGTTAGCATGCTAATGCTAGTGATCTTTATTATGCTGGTATCTTCACACTGCATGTAAATTTACCTGAAATGAGCGTGATCTAGAAACACAGTTAAGCAGTGAGTACAGTATGTTATTCTTCTTTTCTCTAGTCCCTCAATTAAACAACTTTTATACACGAGGGGAGGAGTCAGCCGGCCGTCCTGGCGATGTAAACAAAGTGAAGATAGGACTCTGAAAACTCTGAAAACATCACAGACAGTGGGACTCGGGTGTTACACCCATTGTAGACAGTCATGACTCACAGAGTTATTTTCAGAGGATATACTTGATTTCTACATTTAAGTGTGAAAAATCACATAGAAAGCCTTTAATACAATATAATAATAATAATAATAATAATAATAATTGTGGCTTAAACTGGCAAAATATTTATTCAAAGCATGTTAATTTATGTAGTTGAAGTAAAACGAAGACAAAGCACTCTTTGACCTAAGAGGTAAAGTTTGGTATGATGGATTAGCTGTATATGTGTAGGCTTTTTTTCTCAAAATAGGAATCATGGGAAATAATCTGAGCCCTGCTATTGCACATGAATGGTGCTTTCCTGTCAGAAAACATTCAGAGTTACTTTGTGAAAGCACGTCTAATGCTTGTCACTTGAGCTAGGAAAATCTCCCACCCTGGATTGGTGAACTAATCTTGTTTACAAGGCAACATACCAACGTTAAAGAGAGACACAGAAAAAGCTACATTTTACGAGATTGGTGGCCTGCAGCACAGTTTCAAATCTTCTATTCTGTTTTTTATGTCAAGGTATAGTCAGGTCTTACTTTGACTTGATATAAAAACAGCTGTAATTGATTTGAGAACTTAAAGATGAATTTATAAGGAATACAAAGGAAAAGAAAATAACTCCTCTATTTATTGACCTTTGTATTCAGGCTGCTGCTAATCTAATACAGATGTCCTGAAAAACCACTGGAAAAGAATGTGTGACAGATGTTAACTGGATGTAAACCCAAGTCAGTCTTATATCTGAATTATCCGTTTTAACTTTGCCTGCATTTAGAGAAATAATACACGTCCACCTAAATAAACATTTGGTATGTGGTTATAATAAAATCTCAAGTTCTTATATCTCATTTTCTCTGCTTCTGATACCTGAACTTCTGCTGAGACCTGTAGTCAATTTGTTTTGATTTTTTGATTTGCTGACATAATGCTAACTTTTTATTATGCTCAGTATTATGCATTCACTCTTTAGATGCCATAGTTGGTGTTTGCTGATGTGGCCAATACATATTTGTGTCACAACCATCAAACAAATATTGCTGAATACAACTAACATTTTGACATTTACATCTCTCAATGGATCTATGTATTTATGGGAGAAATCACGACTCAAAGATTGCCTACAGACAGCAGACCAGGAGTCAAATTAGTCAAATAAAAACAGAGGCTTCATCGTAGGTAAAGCACTTTTTTTCCTGGTTCATAACTCATTCAATCGCAATGGAATGAATGTGATCATTTTAAGTAGTTGAAAATTCCTTCTCAGCAATGCACCGCTTAACAACCACGAGCCGATACCACTTGCCTGTGATTAGTTGCTGTGGTGGAGTTTTAGTGCTTTGCTCAAGGGCGTGCGAACAGCTGTAACCAAAAGGCCACCGCTTTGTCTGCGTATAAAATTCTGCATTATGTCTGACTTAAAGGAGCAAAAATCAGTATTTCTGTGAGTATATGTTCTCCTGTATGATGAGGACGTGTCCTGTGATGAACCATCAGAAAAATATCACATAGCTCTGGATTCCCCCTCAGCTCAACAAAGCATCTTTCAGCTCACTGTTTCACCCTCCATTGTGAAGGTTCAGTCTCTTTGACTTTGTGTACTCCTCAGCAGATAACAGCAGACTGACAAAGTTAGCAACTTGCTGGTAGTAGGCATTGTGACTCATATGGACTTAAAAGCCAATGTGTGTTTTTAACTCAGCGTTGGATGGAGACCAAAACAACAGCAAAGAGATAAAATTGCACAACACTGTTGACATAACAACTTTATGGATCACTTTGCTTGCTTCACTTTCCCCTCGTGGTTTAACAAATATTGCAAATAAATAACATTAGATTTATTATTAAACATATGACTTTACAAGAATTATCCAAGTGCCTGTGGTGGTAATCATTATCCAGCACGTACCTGTCAATGGCGATAGCTCCCAGTGTGAGCATGCTGGAGGAACTGATGAGCAGGTAGAGCAGGGCAGTGAAGTTGCACCACACCACCCCGAAAACCCACTCTCTCTTGTCAATGGCGATAGCTCCCAGTGTGAGCATGCTGGAGGAACTGATGAGCAGGTAGAGCAGGGCAGTGAAGTTGCACCACACCACCCCGAAAACCCACTCTCTCTTCGCCGAGCTCACGGCAACAAATGGCAGCACCAGCATGGAGAGCAGCAGGTTTGAGAGCGTCAGGCTAAACACAAACTTGTTGCTGGGTGTCAGCAGGTAAGGCCTGCGGTAGAGGGTTACCACGATCAGCAGGTTCCCCATGCAGGCCAGGAGTGTGATGGTCACGATGGAGACGGACTCCAGGGCAGCCAGACCCTCTCCATTCCCCAACGCGGTGCAGTTCCTACTGGTGTTCATGGTGAGACGCTGGGCCACAAGGCACTTGCAGGAATGTTGGGAGACTGTTAGGGGACAGACAGATGTTGAATTCAATATGTTTTATCCCCTCGGTCTTTACTCTGTGAGAAAATAGTAAAGAATGTCTATGACTGCTTTAAGAGTTTCTAATGCTTTTTGAAAAGGATGAACTGCAAATCCTAATATGAATGTTGGGAGACTGTTAGGGGACAGACAGATGTTGAATTCAATATGTTTTATCCCCTCGGTCTTTACTCTGTGAGAAAATAGTAAAGAATGTCTATGACTGCTTTAAGAGTTTCTAATGCTTTTTGAAAAGGATGAACTGCAAATCCTAATATTCAAAAACACAGAAGCAGATGTTTGTAACTCTCAATGAATTAAACGATTAATCACACATTATATGTAAGATCAGAAGAAAATCAATAGTAGACATTCATGCACTGATTAACTGCATCATAAAATCAAAACTTTGAAGTACATTATGCATGAATGCAGAACCAAAAATGTGCTTGAGGGATTAAACATGTCCCAAAAGTCTGCCATTAGATCTCCATACAGTACAGAGATTAATAAACCAAGTTTATTTACTTAAACAGTTTATTTTAAATCACTTAGCTGTTACTACAACTTATTGATTTTTACTTTTACTTTTCTTTGTACTTTTCTCCTCTTTTTTTCTTATAATGCTTTTCTATTTTATATATAATTTTAACTTTTTTTGTAGAAGCTGACTCAGGGAGAAACGCACAAAAATTCCAATGTACCTGTACTGTCCTGTACCTGTGCACAATAAACATCTATCTAATCTATCTATCTATCAAACAGATCTTTACACTATGATCAGACAAGAGGTTTGTATTTGTATCACACTGTCTAAGAATATATATATATATATATATATATATATAGTCCTCTCAAGGCTTTTAAATCAACTACATTTAATAAAATATAATACTAAACTTACAGTTTTGGGTTACTTCTGTATTTTTACTCTACATTTCAAAAGGTAAGCAAGGTATTTGAATATATCCAACATCTTTGGTTACAAGTTAGTTTCCAGTTAAATTGATTATGTATGATCAATTAGCATGGCTTTGATTTTCCAGATAAGTTGTCAACTCAAGCAGGTTAAATAATGTTCACTTCATCTGTCTACTCTCAGTTACATTGAATAGTTTCTGCTGATATGTCTACACTCCTTCACTTTAACTTATGTCAATACTGTCCATTTACAACTCTGTTTTTACACATTTACATTTAATCTTTCATATTTAACACTAATGCTAAGTTAAATCCTGGTTGTATATATTCTCATTCTTAGTTTTGATATTTTTAGTGCTTATTTACTTTGTATTTAATATAATGTTGTGTTTAAATTTGCTAATATTGTGTTTTTTGCTCATATTGTGTGTTTGGATACCTGCTGCTGTAAAAGAAGATTGAAATGCTTCAGAGTTTAAACATAAAATTGCGTTATGTTAAAGTTAAACATCAAAGTTTGGCTTCGTGTTAAACATTAAAGAATAAAAACGTTGTAGTTCGCAGCGCTGTGATTATCCGTTAGCAGTGAAGCTAACTCAACCATCTCCCGTTAGTTAGCCTCGGTTAGCTGAAACTTTCTCCCATTGTCCCCCAAACAACTACACACACAACTTTTTCACTTCTTTTTTTTTTTTTACCTGCTTTGGTTCGGCGTTGTGGCCCCACATTTCCTCCCCCTTACAGACAAACCGTCCATTCTTTCGAGTCCTGTTCCACACTTTAACACAGCCTGGGGGAAAAAACCTCCGAAAAGCTCCACAGAAGTGTTAACGCTGAAGAAACTCTGCTCCGCTGGATCACAGGCGGCCAGCAGCGGCTGCAATGGCGTCCTCCTCCTCCTCTCCTCCTCCTCCTCCTCCTCCTCCTCCTCCTCCTCCTCGCAGACTCCTTCCCTCTGTGGGTGGTCGCAGTTTCAGAATTATCGTCGTTGTTTTCATATCGCCATTGAAGCAGCAGCTACATGTAAACAGTGTTTGTTGTGCTGCGCTTCTTAACACATGAAACCGTTTAAAAAGCTCTTTAAAGTCTTATTCTGCTTCAGTTGGAGGGAAATGTTCATGTTTACAAAAACTGTCAATATACACTTTGTGTGTGTGTGTGTGGTTTTTTTTCATGACAGACAGACGGTGTTTATGAATGAACTGCATAAGCATAGTATTAAAGCAGCTGGACCACCCACAGAGATCAAAGCTTCCCGCACAAACATTTTATCTTCCGTCATCCAATCAGAAAGCGAGGGCAGTTCCAACTCCGTCCACTAGATGGTGTACGCAACCTTAATTTTTAATTCCCTTGCATTTATTCCAGTTTTAGTCAACACTTTTAATATTTTACGATGGAGGATTAGGGCCACGTTAATTTTTTTTTTTTTTTAAATTTCGAGATTATAAAGTAGTAAATTTACGAGAATAAACCGAATAAACTCGTAAATTTACCATAATTTTTTTTTTTATTTAAAAATAAATAAATTTACGACTTTAATTTTTTATTTTTTTTAACATGGCCCTAATCCTCTGTCGTAATATTCAGAATTTAAAAGGACAATTATAATTACGAACTGGTAATAAGTGACCAACTGAAAATCTAATGTCATTTAAATGTGGGAAAAATATGTGGTCCATTTTTTCATTTGTTGATTGGTTCAATTTCCCCCTTAACCTAAATATAGCAACTTTAAGTTTGGTGGGATATCAGTATTGCAGTTGTTGTGGTGTTTAGGTGTTAGGATCCACTTTGGTGGATTAACACGTTCTTAAATGGATGCATGATGTTTGTAATATTAACTCCACTCCTACTGGTGTCAATGTGTGTTTATTTAGAAGTATTTAAAGCTGTTTAATCTTTACTAAGTAAGAATATGTATTGATTTCACAGGCTTAAACATTGCAGAAAAAAGGGAAATTGTCCATTAGGTGTCTGGCATAAAAAAATAATTTGGCAGACAAGCTTGATTTATTCTGGTGCCCTTGCAAAAATAAATGCAAATTGCAAGCCTTTTAAAAGTACAGTGACTTTTTAAAATCCAGGTGGAAAATAAATGGAACTGAATGGATTAAATACAACTGGTCAGCCAAGACAGAGGCCATTTTTAATGCTGTTGGAGGCAGTGGCTGCTAAGTTAAAACAACAACAGCAAGTTGAAGTCAGTAAGTCATAGTCCACAGTAGATCTCATGCTTGCAGCACAGTAACATTTTAAAGTAATGATTAATAGAGTAATGATTGAACAGCAGTCAGCGTGGTCTGTACTCTACAGCACAATGGTTTCTGTAGTCATCCTGAAACATCAAACATGGCAGAAAAAGCAAACCATGCATGCCCCATAAATCAATAAGTAAATTCAACAGAATAAACACAATAACTTCGAGTTTATCAGTTTTGTGCTGCAATGATTTTACTTTGTATCATTTGTCATTCATTATGACACACAAACAAAAGTTTGAATCAGAGGTTAAAACTTGAGCATTGGGATCTGTGGGGAGTAGTCGGTCAGGAGAGAAACCATCAGACCCTGAAAGAGAAGAAGGTTATGATGATTAGTAGAGAGGGAATAAAACAGGAGACAAAGAATACTGACACAAAACTCACACGAATATTCAGTTATTAATATAATGTTTTTTTCACCATAATGGTCCACTTCCTGTTCTCTGCCTCAGGGAAGACGAGGGAGCGGGGCGAGTAGAACACCTCGTCATCCACCTCCTCCATTTTCCGTGGGAGACAATGCAGGAAGGTCCAGTCTGGTTTGGCCACACTTCCTGTCTGTAGATGACCAGAGCAAAACAAGTGATCAGGTTATGACCTGCACAGGGTGTCACAATATGCAATCCAGCTTTCTTTAGAGAGCACATAAACAACCCCAGCAGTGTTCAACATAGTGCTTTACAGTGTTTAAAAAAACTAACTAACAATAATAGACGATGCATGCCTGTGTACACTGTTACATTCACTTGACTTGTATAACACATGTTTCTGGTCTTTTTTGCTTTTTGAAGATGTTTTAACACCTAGTTTTTCCTACTTGTGTAATAGAGATGCACTAACCGTGAGAATCAGGGCAGATACCAACATTTAAAAAAAACGTTTTGCAAATTATCGATTCTGATGGCATGTTTTTTTCATGACTTCTTTGTACTTCTACTTGTCTGTTTTTCAAATGAGCTATGCCACTGGCTGTATTTAAATACTGATTGCAATTATTTAGGTACTCTCTGTAAAAAGTAACATTATTAGTGTTTACTAACAGGACATTAAGACATTTTTTATTGATGAAAATAACCATCCGATATCTCAGAAAACAATATCAAGTTGTTCTTTGCAAGAGTTTTTTCAGCTTTCATACTAACTCCAAAACCAGAGAAGTGTGTAATCAGTGCTCTACTAATTTACCAAAAAACTACTTGCAGATAGTTTCATTCTGTGCTGTGCATCGTTTTTTCAGTCAAGCAGGAGTTTGAGTCAGAGAATATGTTTGCCCTGAACTTATTTACTTTTTGTCAGGAATTGTGTTTAAAAAAAAAGAACAATAAGGGAAAAAGTATTTACGATTCAGTTGAGCGCTGTGGTTGAAAGTCTGTAAAGCTAAAATGTTCTTCTAAATATGGAACATTGTCTTCTTTACCTGCATTGTAATCTGGTAACCTTTAAAGTCATTGAGCCTCTTTTCTTCTCCTCCTCCTGTCCCATGCTGACCCAGGTGTCAGTGACCAAAACATTGCTGCCGTGGGCGGCCTCCATAGGGTCAGCGGTCAGAAGAAGTTGAGTCCCATGCTGAGATAAAATGCAATGTTATGAATTGATAAGAAATCGGTTACAAGCCTTCTGCTTATGATAAGAATGTGAAAAAGAAAATCACCTCTTTGGAGAGTCTTTGAGCCTCTTGATAACGCTTTTCTCTGGTCCATAACCCTGAAAATGAAGGTACAGATGTAGCTCAGGCTGTCATTATTATTATTATTAACAAAACAGAAAAACAACCACTTTTTTAGTTCCCAAGCTTTTGTTTGGGAGCAACAACTACACGCTCACAATCCACTACATGTATCTGCTTAGAAAAAGAAGCAGCAGCATAAACAGAGGAGAACCTTTGGTGTAGCAATCTTCAGGTGAATCCCCAGTTTGGCTGCTGACATCATGAAGGAGTGGAGGACATTGTTTCCATCTCCAATCCAGCTCACTGTCAGTCCACTCAAGGAGCCGTAATGTTCCTGAGAGAGAGCATTTGAGAAATCACCACTTCATTTTCATTCTTAAAGGTGTAAACTGATAAAAAGAGAGACACTAGAGTACCTGTAAAGTGAGGTAGTCAGCCAGAATCTGGATTGGGTGGTAGAGATCAGACAGGCCGTTTATGATGGGAATAGAGGCCTCCTTATCCAGCTCCTCCAGGGTGGAGTGGCCGTACACTCGAGCCAAGACAATATCACAGAGCCCTGAGAGAACCCTGTGGTGGGAGTTTAGAGATGACACAGGTCGTCATGTCAATGTCATATACTTATGCCATGGAATTAAGAATGTGTAGTTCACGTTCCAGATTTATGAATATAAACGGTGTTTAACAAATATGAAAGGTCGGTTTGATTATTTTTAGTGAGTGTGACTTCTGTTTTGTTTTTTGTTTGTTTCATTTGTTTTGTTTTGAAATGTTTTGTTTTTTTTTGTAACCAAACTAGTAGTGTCTTAAATAATAAGATTTGTAACGAGGGGAGGTGTAATAAGATGAAGCTTCAGTCTAAACCTTTTCAATCAAAGTGTTTTTGTTTTTTCTTGTGACCGAAATAAATGATTACAACTACTACTACTAAAGTTTTGGACAACACCAGCGCTAAACAAGCGACGCAGTGATGCATTGAAACACACCATATGTCAAAAAAGCATGAAAGCAGAGCATGCTGTAAGACTCACCTAGCTGTGTCTGTGGAGCTCTCATTCACTCCAAGGTGGATGTCCTGAGAGGTGAGGAAACAGGGGTGACCCCCCAGCAAAGCAAAACCTGGAATCATGACATAAAGCCATCTTCAGTTAGTCTGCTAAGAAAGCATGTGATAAAATGTTTATTTTGAATGTGGGAAAGTTGAGTGAAAAACAGGAGAGGATGTAGTTCAGAGATGCAGACTGTGTTGTTCCTGTGATGCATTCAAAGTCCTCTTTCAGCAGTTCTTTTGTGTCCATGCTTACAACCACTTTACAACGTGCGGAGCCGGCTGATGAATAGCATCAGCTCAGACGAGATTGTGGAGATATAACAATTCTGTTAGAAGCCTCTTGAAGCAGCCATTTTCTGGTTGTTTGTTGTTTGTGAACAGCAGGGGGCACCTTGCTAAGCACATGGGTTGATTAGGAACCTTTTAAATGTTCCAGGTGTGTCACCGTTTGGTGATGCACCAGGAAGGGACCACATGTTAATGAAACAGGTCAATGGGATGCAGGTGGAAATGTTTGTATGTCTAAATTAAATGAAGAAACATGATATTCCTGACTGGACATTGAACTTATTGCGTGCAGAAGGCCTCACTGGAACGGTGCATCAGTGGCTGTTTGTTGAGTTTATGTGATTTGTTTATAATTGTAACTGTATTATTGTTTTTTTTTGGACAAAATGAATGTATGATGTTTGTAATATTTTGAATAGCTTAGTCTATGTAACTCCACTCCTACTGGTGTCAATGTGTGTTTATTTAGAAGTATGTAAAGCTGTTTAATCTTTACTAAGTAAGAGTATGTATTGATTTCACAGGCTTAAACATTGCAACAACAAAAAAAGGGG